TTATTAAGGTCAAATGCATAACAAAACAAAATGTTATCTATTTAACTTGTCAAACCTGTTCAGTTATGACACTGTTTACTGTTTGTGTGCGACCTTCAAATTTGGATTCTTGTTTGTTTATAAGTCCACCATGTTTTTCAGTTTGATATAGTTTTCGACACATGATTCCCAACTCTGTGGATGTGCTAGGCCACACTGTCTCTGGAGGTTCTCAAAATGTGCCTGAAGGTGTTCATCTCCACATTGAATGTTGTTAGTCTCTGTCACAAACTGTCCGAATGGCTCCTGGGAAACTAGGAAACCACAGTCTGTTCCACCAAACCTAGGAATAGAAGAAACACAGGAAACATTTAGTTATATTTACATTTCTTCACTAAACTGTTACTGCTCTGACTATTGTTATAACCTGTCTAAATGATTAATTGTATTTAAATTTACATTTTAGAAATTGTCATCTGAAATTGTTAGAATAAAAAGTGACATACTGTTAACACATTGTTCATTATTTTAGTTTTGGCAAATTATTTTTTAGAGTTCCCAAAGAGGTTTTAAATTAACCAGATGTTGAAGACAAAAACAACAAAAATTACCTGTGAGGTAGATGATACATCACATCTGGTTTACCAGATGGACAGCAAGGTCTTAACAGGTCTTATGGTATGTTTATGCCACCTGTTCTTGCATTCATCAAGATCTCTCTGTAGCATATCCATGAAGACAAACCGCACAAGGCATGTGTGCTCATGACTTCCATTGAAGAGATGTCTTTCCTTCAAATCGTTCATGAGATCCATCCAGAACTGAGATCTACAATAAACCAAAATTATAAGATAATTATATCAGCAGAAAGTAATAGGACTAGTTTCTATGTCATGAAAATAGTTGAATATATGTTGACCTACAAAGTTAAATATAAATTAAGCAGACATCAACTGTTATACTTTAAATGTTGAGCTTCTGATTCATCCATATCAAATGTTAAACTATAAAATTAAGTTGTATATAGCACAAAAACATAATGGTCATTAAGAGATATGCAAGTACTTCATTTCTTCTGACAAAGTAGAGGTAATCGAGTAAAATGTTGCATTAAAAATTTGAAATGTTTGCTTATCCAAGAAGACTACTAAATTTATTCACCTTTTCAAGGTCTACTACTTGGTATTTATACAAAAATTACAATAAACTGTTGACAAACTCACCTTTGTTTTCTGAAATATGACCACCAGCTTTCGATGCGTCGGTTGGCTGTTGAGGAGCCATACATATGGCTGGCAACGCTCAAGCTTTTCACAAGTGGTGGAGAAAAAAAAAAATTTAACTTAGTGAATTTCCAAAAAAAGTAATCACTAATCTACTTTTTCAAGTAGTAATAAGTAATCGATTAAAGTTAATTTTTACAAGTAACTATGCCATCACTGCTTACCAGTGTCTTGAGCTTGTGCCAAGATCTGCACATTCTTCCCACATGAAAAACAGAAAACTTGAATTGTTCCTAAATTTTGTCCACAGAAACAGCAAAACATGGCCACCTAAAAAAGGTAAATCAGAATCAGAAATACTTTAATAATCCCAGAGGGAAATTACTTTTGTTACACGCTCCAGTTACAGTTTTACATGATATATACACACATCCAACTATACAATATAATAAAGATTTAAAAAAATAAGAATAAAAAGAGATAAAATATATATACACATATAGCTCTTCTGTATATATATCTGTACGTATATCTATGCATATGTAAAAACTAAATCCAAATAAAGTGAAAAGTCCAATTAAAGTGATAAATCCAAGTAAAGTGATAATGTTGTTTTCCTCCTCTGCAACCACGGCGTGTTTTCCTCCAGAGTTCGGGTGGTATTCCAGCTGTCTGGCTAAAACGCCGGCCGGCATTAGAGCGATCAGCTGTTCTCTGGAGTAAACAAAGGCAGCGTGTCCCGGTGGGAGCAGCATGATAAAAACAGCACAAAAAAGCACAGAACCTCCCCGAACCTCATCTATCTATCTATCTATCTATCTATCTATCTATCTATCTATCTATCTATCTATCTATCTATCTATCTATCTATCTATCTATCTATCTATCTATCTATCTATCTATCTATCTATCTATCTATCTATCTATCTATCTATCTATCTATCTATCTATCTATCTATCTATCTATCTGATTATGATTAGCATGAGCATAATTGCTTTGCTAACTCGGGCAAGCATCTACGAGACCGAGCCCAGAACGGTATGACTGACACAAAATCTATCACGCTACTAGGGGTGGGTATTGCCAAAGAAGTCACGATTCGATTCGAATCACGATTCACAGGCCACGATGCGATTCTATCACGATGCATCACGATACTTGAATTATTGCGATGCATTGCAATATTTTCTCCTCCGTGTTTTGTTTTTGAATGACTCGGCACAGTATCCCACGGCCGGAAATGCTTGTGACACAAGGCAGCGTGCCTCAACACATTTGCAGTGACTTCTACTGGACTGGAAGTGGTATTGCACTTGTTTTTGGCTGATGTTCGCCAACCATTCATGCAATTTTATTTATTCATTTTTTTAAATTAATAATCGATTCTTGGCATCAAGAATCGATGCAGTAGATCACGAAAATTAGAATCACGATGCATCATCATCACGATTATTTTGCACACCCCTACACGCTACCCATAAATTATTCTGTTATGCTATAATATTATAAAAGACGGCGTATCTAAAAAGAAATATAGTAATACGTACCTTTACTTTCTTTCAAATATCTTTCTCTGAATCTTGCATCTGGTCCCATAGAAATGAATACTATTTTCTTTGACTCCCCCTAGTGGTCTGGAGCACTTCCGTTTTCAACACTTTTTGTTTGCTGCATTTCATTCGGGGGTGTTTTCTTTTTTGTTTGCTGCATTTCATTCGGGGGTGTTTTCTTTTTTGTTTGCTGCATTTCATTCGGGGGTGTCTTCTTTTTTGTTTGCGTCTCTCTTTTTGTTTGCTGCATTTCATTCGGGGGTGTCTTCTTTTTTGTTTGCTGCATTTTATTTGCTTTTTGTTTGCCGCATTTAATTTGTGAGCGTGTCTTTTTTTTTGTTTGCATGTTTTTTCTTTTGCTGCGCATTTGCACCTGTCGGCCACCGTAACATAGTTTAATATGGGAGGAAAAAAATCCTATGTATGGCTGCAGTTAGTAGTATGGTCAGTAGGGGCGCTAGGCTGCAGCTGGTGGTTTATTGTCACTCTGGGTGACAGTGGAGGGAAATAACAGATATTCAGTTGCCATTTGTACGGAAGAGGATTAGGGCCACTGAAAAAAAAAAGTTAACTGATTTTTAAATGTTATTTCAGTTTACACAAAAAAACAACCATATGTGTTTGCTGGAGTTTGTTTTGTTTTTTTCTCTAATGGATAAAGATGTCACATTTCAATATACTGTTGATTTAGAAAACACGGTCAAGTTTTGGTTTGATAAAAAGGGACATTTTCCATCATCAGCAGCAAGCCATCCAACTACCCCAGTCAAACTCCTGTATCTATCACATTTTAAGACAGGTGCGGAATAAATCTTAAAACCAAAACTAAGATTAGATGATCACATTTTGACTTACTATGGTTATGTATAAATTTATCAGGGGTGCAACTATATGTAGACTCAAAACTTCTGTGAAAACCTGGAACTATAATCCCTGTGTGCGGTGAGTCTAAAGCAAAATGTATCTTTTTTTTTTATGAATCACTAGATTAAAAAATGGTTTCTATGATGTTTCCATTTATCGAGATTCATCCATGCTGAAAACTGATACATATAACAAAATGTTTGTAAAAACGTTATAAATTGCAAAACACCTGAGATTGAAGAATATAATGATAATAATTATAATAATTATAATTTAATAATATGATAATAGTAGTATTATAATAATAATATCATAATATTGTTATATAATATTATTATGTTACCGTTTACCGGGGTTTTGGTTGCAAAGGGTCTGGTGCTGTTCCGATTTCCGCCACCAGATGGCAGTAGTGACGCATAAGGAAGCGTTTTAGTCTTGCGCAGAAGCAGTAGCAGAGAGCTGCAGCTGAAGAAGCACAATAATGTGTAACATGCAGCAGAATTTTGAACCTGCTGAATACGGCAAAGAAAATATTACTGAATCCCAAAATAGAGTGAGCTGTAGTAGGCCAGTCTAGAAGTACTAAAAATACTAAAGGCATAAATAACTCTGTCAAGGACATTAAATGATGAAGATGATGTGATGTTTTTCTCTATGTGATGCATGTTGTCACATTGCCGGATCCCCCCTCTAATTTCTGTTTTTCAAATCCTTTATTTTTCATGCATAATGCAAAAAGCATCAAATTCAATGATTTCTGCTTTTATGTTTTTTTTTTTTTCCAGAGGGAGGCGGATGTATTTTAAAAACCAACCAGTGTGGATGGACTTTAGGCAGATTGGGAGGTTTCATCACATGAAGGAGTGGCTACACTCTGGCCTTGAAACACCTTATCAGAGGTGTTAAGTAACTAAGTATAAATACTTTGTAACAATACCTAAGAAGCTTTCATTTATAGTATTTATTTTTCTGAGGACTTTTTACTTTTCTTCCCTCCATTTGAACACAAACATATTTCCTTTCTACTCCTTACTTTATCAAAACCTACTGGTCATTTTTATAAATACAGATAACGGCATGAAATCAGAAAGAGAATCTGTCCAGTTGGAGCAAGGTTACTTTATAGAAAAACTCAGATATTTATATTTACATGTTATTATGTGATCAATTTGTAGGATTCTTCATAAAAATGAAGAACATTATGGGTAACAGTGAGCATCCTCTTCATCAGTCAGTTAAACAACAACAGTGTCTTATCTAATTTTACGAAGAAGGTGAATATTGGGATTTTTTTTTTTTTTGCTGGTCTCAGACATTGGGAATAACTTTTTTTCTTTTTTTTTTTTTTTGTTAATTGGATTTAATAACCAGGACACAATGACATAATGTTGGTCCAATGTTCTCATTTATTCTGTCACCAAACTCAATACATACAAATTTTATTCTGAAATAGTTTCCATTCGAGTTTGAACTGAAGTTTGATGCAAATAAAGCATCAGAATGCATCCAAGAAATAAAACGCCTTCTGTAATTTCCTTCCTTTATTTTCCATTTTCTTTACAATCTCTTTGATTTCATAACTGAAGTCAGGGGATAAAATTCTCTTCATTTTGTAATCTGCATACAGTCATCAATACAACACAATCATTCAAAGTACAATTTCACAAAATTTCCAGAAACCCTCTCTTCTGACAGAGCCTTTACATCGGACACCGATGGACGTAATAACCTGTCACGTAACCTATTATGTAAATAACCACCATTGCAGCCAAGGCTCCTGCTGACTTCATTATGATCCCAGTGCTCCCAGTGCAAACTCTGTTGTAGATCCTGTAAATTAGATAAACCATAAAGTTAATACATCTTTTCATTACAAAAATTTGTTTATCTTTAAATATTGCTGAGTTCTTTCAAAGAAGCCAAATCTGGTTATGTGATCCAACAAAACTTTTTTGGCTTAGATTCAACTTTCTTTTTCTCTACTACTACTAGAGATTAACCAGTGCAGGATTTTTATGCCGGATGCAGATACCAGTTATTACCAAAACAAACCCCTTTTGTTCTGATCTGATGCCCTGATTTTGTGGACCAATACTTTAGGCCAATTTTCCTTTTTATTCCTCCATTTACATGATAAAAGTGGTAAATTGATAAGAAATGTTGCACAAGTGTTAATTTAAAAGAAAGAAAGATGCATTAAAGCTACAGTGTGTAATTTTCAGCGACATCTAGCGGTCAGACTGCAGACTGCAGCAACATGAACGTCTCCCCCCCACCGCTTCTCCCCCCCAACAGTACGGCGAGCGTTACGGGACAAAATGTCTTCCACGACGTCCGCATCACCTACCTTCTCAAGTGATGAGGTTTGTTTACATAGATAATTTTACAGATAGTATTTCATTAGTCTGTGTAGGGTATAGATTTCATGTAGACTTAAGATAATAAATATACCCGTTATTTTTTCTACGTCGTTGTGACGTTTTGGTGAGCTGCTTTGCATGGTGATATAAACAGACGAAGTAATTGTAGTCATTAGTTTAACAGCGAGATTGTGTTCGCTGGAAGAATATATATTCCCCGTTTACAGAGTCCAAGTCTTGTTTGTGGCACGGGGGTTACAAGGCAAGGAAGAGGGAAAGGCCCTGCTGAAAAATAAATGTGCTAAGTGTACTAAAATTTAGCATACTTTTGTGTACTTGAAGGCACACTAATCATTACTATACTTTAAGTGTGTTTATGATTAGTTAACTTGAAGGATGCTATTTTGGAACAACTAATTTTGTACTAAATATATTTTAATTGTAATTAAATTGTGGGCAAGCTCAACTTGAAGTGTATTTAGTGTACTTTGATGTGCTAAAGTGGAACAACTTAAAGTATATTTTGTATACTTTAAGTATATGAGTTTATATGTACTAATATATGCTTAATTAGTCAAATTAAAGTGCACTATGGTTGTATTATAACTACATTAAAAATGATTTGTTAGTGTCTTAAAAATATATAAGCTTTAAAACTTTTAATATACTCTTACTGTGGTAATAATATGCTTAATTATACTGTTGGCTTATTCCATTTACTAAAAAAGCATACTTTGCAGTTAATAGTAAATATACTTTATCATTACATTGCTATACTACTTTCTACCTTGCACATTCTTGCAAATGTATTAACAGTATACTAAATGCTGAAAGACTTGTGGATATACTTCCGTGCAGATAAAAAATATACTTTAATGTATTTGAAACATGTCCAAATTATAGTACATTACAAATAATATAACAACTTGTACTATCTCAGAATGTATAAACATTTACATATCGACTTTAACCATTTTCATTATAAAACTTACAACACATTTTCAAATATTGGTACTTTAGTACACTTTGTAGAAATATGTCAATGTCAGGCAGCAGACCTAAACATTACAAATAAACTTTAAACACAGAGGAATAGGGATGGGAATCGAAAACCGGTTACTGTTAAGAACCGGTTCCGTATTTTCCGATTCCATGGCATCGTTTGGCTGCTCGCTGAATGATTCTTTTTTCGATTCCCGCAGCACCAGAGCCTAGAGCGCCAGCTCTGGGGAGCACGACTTACGTCACGTTTTTTACGTAAGTTACGCAACTTACGCAAGTTGGAAGAACTATTCGAGGAGGAAGACAACGAGCTGCGGTCACTTTGTGAATAAAAGCCCCGTCTTTCCTTAGCCCAGAGAGTAGATCAGGAAATCCAGCTCTATAAAAGCTTGCCCTCCATCCCCTGCAGGGATAGCGCCACACTGTGGTGGTGGAACAAGCAAGATACGCTGCCCTTGCTATCTGGACTGGCTGAAAACTACCTCTGTGTGCAGGCTTCCTCCACCCCATCTGAGAGGGGGTTCTCCACGGCTGGAGACACCATTAGCCCTGAAAGATCCCGTATCCTTCCAGAAAAAGCAGATATGCTCATCTTTCTGCAAAGAACTGTTAATTTTCCCTACTACTGTTTTATAATTAGTATTTTTTGTTATTTAAAATAGGTTATTATCCCATCATTTGTTATTAGACATTGTTGGTTATTAAGTTTGTTCTTGTATTCATTTTTAATTTAAACACAGATGTTACTCCAGTTTCACATTTCCTGTGGACATCTTGATCTTGTTGAGTTTGTAAGATTGTGCAATAGTTAAGTAAACAAAGTTGATTCTGATAATCAAACTGTTTGTTCTCCTTTTCCCCCCAAATTGGAATCGAAAAAAGAATCGATAAAGAATCAAATCGTTTCATAGAATCGAAAAGGGAATCGGAATCGTGAAAATCTTTTCAATTCCCAACCCTACAGAGGAATACTGAACAATGAAAAACAACATTCCTTATTATTGCACCCCTAAACCCTCGCACCATACAAAAACACGCCCACCACACATTATTTTCCTTTTTTTGGCTGAACTGCTCATTGTTACATTTTCGTCTGATGGCCGTGCGCACATCAGAGACACTTGTCTACGGAAACTCCAGAAGAACAGCGTCTGTTAACCAAACAGAGAGATACTGTAAGTCACGCAGCATATTCATAGTATTTTTGAACAGTACATCAGAAAAGTCTGACAAATTGTATCAGTATGATATACCAGGGTCCATAAGTGCACCAGAAAAAGAAATTGTCCATTTCAGTTGAATTTAAATAAATCTGATGCATCAAGTGGTTTTATCAGATCTGATCAAAAAAATTAAACAAAGTAACAACAAAAATTGTCCGAGATCTCAGAAAAGAAAAAAATTATGAATCCGCAGAAAGAAAGGGAAGAAAAATCCTTAAGTTTCCTTGTTTTTCCTACCACCCTCCAGGGAACCGGATGGCATTCACATTGGGAACATTCTGCATCAACATCTCTGGTGGAGTCTAGTCCAGTCCATACAATGAACCGCTCAGCTGTAACAGCAGGTTCTGCAACTATGTAAAAAAAAAAAAAAACAGACTGCACGCAAATGTGCAGAGCAATTACTTCAATTGGAAAATAAATCATGTAATCACCATAATATAAATTGGTTTTACCACATTTATACAGACAAAAATATATAAATAAAGTAAAATTATCAATTTACATGTGGTTCACGGTCTAAGAAATCATTATGGTCAGTAGTCAATACTTGTATCTGGAAAAAACAATCCAGGACACTTATGAAGGGTTAATTTTACGTTAACCCCTTGTGGGGGTTTTACAGCAACATCACACACGATGTAGCTAGCTTGCAAGTGCATTTATTTTTTAGAAGAGCACATGGGGGCGTGTTAGCCTCCTTCTCACTGTGCTAATGCATTCAATAAATCAAAACTAGCTAGTAAAATTACATATCTTACAAAACATTATATCCTGACTGGTTTTACATCTCAATAAATATATATATTTCATTCACAGGTTCATGTGAACTCACCAGGATATTCTTCACAGCAAATCTTCCTGCTCAACCGATTACATCTCCTGTTTCTACAATACAAATATAATCATCAAAATCGCGTTTTATACAGATATCTTAAGATTTCAAAACCAAATGGGAATGTTTTGAAAGTTACCTCTCTCCATGCAGACCGAGGCCTTAAAAGAAAAGCATGCTGGCTCTGAGCAGGGAGGAGCCGTGACTAACTGCTGTGCAGGTGTGGTGCATTCAAAGTCTATGGGAATTCTGATATCAGTACTGAACCAAAAACTCCCAAGACTAAAATTCTTGGGGAGCTACTACTTTACAGACATCAAGGCCAAACAACCTCCACATATCACTCCTATACGCATGAAGTGCTGTCAGCGACTTTTAAATATGTGCACTCACCAATTGGTCTTGTTTGCAGTAGCCCTGCTTTGATCCATTAAACAATACTAATGAAATGTTCTTTTTTGAACACTTGAGACAATTGTAATGTGTTAAGTTTATTTCTTTTGCATTTGGCCAGTATTAACTTTTCTGTTGCAATGTGGGTTATGCTATTTGTTAGATCATAATGTAGCACTGCACCAGCTTTAAACCACTTGCTTTTCAGCAGAACACACATTTTTGTGCACCTGTACTTTTGAAGTGAACATTTAGTGTTTTGTTCAATGTGGTTTTGTGTGTAAGATGTATTGTATCATATTTCTTTTTCAAAACTTATTAAACATTACATAACAACTGCAATAATTGCTATCTGTGTACTTTACACACAGCACAAAATTGCATAATAGGGTTTAAGTGCATTTTTGTAGTTATACTATTGAACACTTTCCAAAAGAATTACCTGAAGTACAAGCGTATATAACTTCACTTCATAATTAGATTCAAATGTAACTTAAAATGCACTCAAACTTAATATTACAGTGTCGATATTAAAATGTGTACTTTTAAAATATGCTTTCAATGTACGTTACAATGACAATTTTGAGCATACAATTTAAAATATAGCAAAAATATATGTAAAAACAAATTTAAAATAAGTACACTTTAGAAATTACACATAACTTTCACTTAAAGTATACTTTTTTAATAATATATTTCTATAAAGTGTAACATAGTGTAATTATGTTAAAGTGTGTTAAAAGTATTAGCATGAAAGCGTAATGTTAGTATACTTTTTATATATTTACAAAAAGTACAATTTGTCTAAGTACATTTTCAGTAAACTATAGGAAATATGAATATACTTGAAATACAATAAAGCACTTTTTTTTTTTACTAGGGGGAAGAGGGCAGAGAGGCCGGGGTGAGCGTGCAGCTGGGGCCAGGCGAGAGAGGGGAGCCAGCGGGGTGAGAGCAGAGGAGGAAAGGCTTGAAGATCTCCAAAGGAGCCGGAGAGAAGTAACCGAGGTATATATCCAGAAAATTATTTTACAGAAAATTACTGAATCATTACCTGTGAAACGTCAGGGACGTTGCTGAATAAGTATACTGGAGAGTAACAGCATCATCACGCAGCATGTTATTGTTTTAGACAGGTCTGAGCATCCTGTACTCCAAAAACTGCAGTGATATTAGACAATTGTGTGTATAGGATTAATTACCTGTCCAAGAGAAAACTGGCAACTTGAGCGTCACTTTGAAAACCTTTTTCCTCCATCAGTGACTTCCATCGTGTAAATGCCGTGCCAATGTTGATCCGTGTTTTTTGTCGTTTCTTGTCACTCTTGCGTTTATTCTCGTCGTGTTTCCGCTTCTTAGATGACGGGGGTTCGGTGTCCGCCGCTTTTCGTTGTGATACAGAGTAGGCATGATCCTCCATTCGTCTGATGTTTGGCCACACAGTGCCAAACAGTTTGCAAAGTCACTCACGCCTGCCGCCTTGTTTACCTTTCTTGTTACCGAGGCGCAGTATACCTGCTTCTTCTTCTTCTTTGGTTTCAGGCAGACTAAACGCTTCTCAGGCATAATACTGCCATCTACTGTTCAGTACCGTCTCAGTTCATCTCTCTCAACTTGCCGTAGTTATTTTCGAGCGTCATGGGAGATCTCGCAATAGCTAGTTTGTTGCCTCTGCGCTGCCGTAGCGCAAAGATGTCAGCCTCCATGGCTGCGAGACCCGCTCCTATGTAATTATAAATAACGAATTCTAAGGCAACGCAAATGTTATGGTTAAAAGGCTGAGCTCATAGGTGATGATAAATAACATAGTTATGTATAATATATTAAATTTCTGAATTTATATGCCTGTAATTATTACACACTGTAGCTTTAACAAAATTGAAAAAAATACATTAACGATGGATAGCAGATGGAGGAAGCAGCAATGCGTACTCTGCATGTGATCTCAAGGCATGCTGAATGAATAAATAAAGCAGCGAAGCATGCATGGTTGCTAAAGGCAGCGCTATAGGTAACCGCCATGGATCTGGGCAGCCAGGTAACCAGTGGGAAACTGGCAAGCCATAAGAATCCGCTGTTCTGGTTGTACTGAAACTGAAATTTCGATTGCAATGTAAATTGTAGTTGACAATGAAGAAGTTTGATTGATTAATATGATTGGCTGAATGATGCATTGATCTATCTATAAAGTCATAATTATTAAGCAGCTAAATAACCAACCATACGTAAAATACTCAACACCCTTCACATCTGTCCAAAAAACATCTGGACGGTCCCCAGGAAGGTGTGCTGTTACCTCCAGATCAGAAGTAACACCAGAAAAAGGAGAATTATACTGACATGTACTGTGCTGGGAGAGGTCTGGTCAATGGATGCTTTAGGAACTGGACCTCTTGGACTTAGTGGATTAATTTATTTGACTTGCTGCTAGGAAATCCATCAATCTATCAATCTAAAATAATGACAGCCCTATCCAGCTCTGTCTGGGGGCTTCCTCGTGCCAGACTGAAAAATAGTCCCTCCAGGGATTTCTGGTGGAAGACCACTGCTCCACCCTGCTATTAACTTAAAACCATAAAACTAGATGCTCCTCCACTTGAGTTAGAGACTGACCATCTCCCAAGAGGCAGATTAGCATTACAAGAAAATCCAGTGTCCATCCGCCGCTTTGCTTAAAACACTCTCAAGGGGCTGGATTAAATAGTTCTGTATGGAAGGATAGGTCCAGAGTCCTTCACCCTGATGCAAAGATGTAAAAGGTTTATTATATGTTATCACAACTATTCTATGGCAGCTGTTTACATCTAGATCTGCACAATCAGTCGATGGGTTCAGAGGGCAATTTTAGCTCCTTGCAAGGCCAGGGCTGTTTAATTTTCCCCCCATAATATATAAACAGTTTAAAACTGTTTATTTTTTAGTTTGCTTTCACACAGATTGTTTTACCCATGTCTTAAAAGGTGTTTGTGACTTCAAACATTTATTTGAGACAAAAAAACAGTGAAAAATGTTTTCTATAGTTTGTCGGTAGAAAACAGTTGACAACAAATAGGTATCACCTTGTCACTGCTTTTCATCTCTATCTATATGAATAATATGAATATGAATAAATTTATATATTTTTATATCAATAATAAATCCAGACCAAAATAATAAGGTCAAATACTAACATCAGTGGAAATAGGAAAGTCAACCAATCAATAGATTAGAATGTTATTACTTATTAGGGATATATTTTAAATTGGCAGTCATTAATGTCATATGATTCAATTTGAATTCATTTGGAAAAAATTGAATATATGTTTGTATGTACTTGTGCTTTGGCAATATGTTTAAAACAGTCATTACAATAAAGCTTATTTGATTTAACTTGACTAAGGTCCAGAAGGATCACTTCAGGGTTTTTTAATACAGTGTTTATATGAAAATGAAGCTTAACGTTATCATAAAGAGAGCATAGAGAGAAAACAACATAGAATGTGCTCTGACAGAGAGTTGTCAAAAACACTGTTTTGTAGAATGATATGAGATTCAACACAATCATTATGCAATGTCACCTACACAACTGATGTGGCAAATGATTTTATCTTTGAGCAGTTTGTCTTAAAAGTTGGTATTAGCATCTTTGGAGTCTGATTATCTAAATAAGAATCACAGGAGATACGGAGAATGTCTTCAAACATCAAATGAGGTCACAAAGACATTTAAAATATGTATGAAGATTGGTTAAGAAAGAGAAAGAAGACAATCCTAATCAGTGAGTTTGAAGTCTTTACCCCCAGATAAGCAAAGGTGAAAAATATTTATTCACGTTTTTAGGTATTTATTTTAACACTGCTGAATAAGCAAATAAATATTCCAGGAAAGCTGATGGTTATTCAAACAGTAAATGATCAACTAATTCATGATGTATTTCTCAGGTCCTTAGGACATAGCTAGATTTTTTCTTCCTCTTGAGTTAATAAGTTTCAGATAAACAAATGGAAAGTGTTTTTTGTTAGCTCCCTTTATTTTTCACATGGGCATCCATAGGAAGGCTGTAAGAAAATAAACAAGGAATCCCGCAAAAAAGAAAGAATAACTCTAAAAGAGCTACTAAAAGCTTTGAGAACTCTACCAGGTCATAAAATGGTCTTATTACTTACAAAAAGGTATAATTAAAAGAGACTTAAACTATTTCCTCACAGTTGTGCCTCCCAATCAAACCCAACCCTGCAATTTCATTAACTGCATACATTTGTTTTTTTAAATATTTTCATGCAGTCCTCCAAGTTTGTTCCATAAGGGACAAAAAATTATTCCCTGCAAGTAAAGGTAATTTAAGCTTCATCTTTACATGTGGCAACACATGAACTCACCTTCTGGATGGGCTCTGTGACGCTTCCACGTTCATGTTGATGTTAGACTCGCTCCAGCGGTCATAATGCACGCTGGATTCTGCACCGGACTCCATTGGATATGGGTGTTTTTTCTATTACTGGTTTATCTTTGTAGTTTCCGCTGTTAAATGTCGATCTAGAGACAGAAAATATATAGTATTTTACATGCAGGCAAAAGTTTAATATAGAAACAAAAATATGTAATGATGTAAAATATAGTGTGTGTGAATGTACATTTCTAATTACAGGATTTCCTTAATGACTACAGAAAATAATGTTTCTAGTTTAATTCTTGTAGGACTGATGGCAAAGAATAAATCATTCAGTTATACAATGAATAAAAAGTATCTTTCTTACCCGTGGCTGACTAGAAGCAGCTCCCAAAGTCTTTCAAATCCAGAACCTTATAAAGAAAGCAATGCTTCCGTCACAGAGTTAAGACTTTGGTCAAAGTGCACAGGTTCACCTGTAGCCATCCTGTCATAAATAGGCCGGCCTACATTATACTTTATCATACTACAGCTTCATGGTGATAAAATACAATTCTGTCCTTGCTACATTAAATTCCAGGTTTGATCACATCCTGAGCAGATAGGAAGAAATGCAAAGCTTGACAAAAAGAAGCTGAATCTTGCACAGGATGTTAACTATTTATTTTCTATGCATAATAATAATCACCTTCGATCTTGTGTTTTGTTCTGCAGTCAATGCATGTGGACATCCGATTATAATAATACTTTTGATATACCTTCTGATGAGACTCTTGAAAATAACGATCTTTAACCTGTTTTTTATTGAGCATTTATTTATATTTAAAAGTTTATAGTGTTTTAAGTTTCTAATGGAATAAGTAAGTAAAAAAATCATATCTGTCTGTCTGTCTGCCTTCCTGCTTGCCTGTTTGTCAGTCTGTCTGTGTGCCTTCGTGCTTGCCTGTCTGTGTGTCTGCCTGCCTGCCTGCGTGTCTATGATCCGAATTAAATTAGCATCTGCTGCATAAGAAATCTCTGACACAGTATGAAGCAGGTGAGCTAATGCTGTGGGTCTCTTGCCAAAAGTATTTGTTTTAAAACTAAAATTAAAATTTTCCAGGTAAACTCCTTCAGTTTTCTTGGTTTAGTTCTCATTAGGCAAGCAAACAGAAAAGGACAAACATTTCCTCCATGCTTCTGTTGCAATGGTAAAAACAAAACAAAAACATACACGCAGATGCATGCTTGTCCTTCCATTGGCAGCCTATTTTTTTTTTATTTTACCAGGAAGTCCCTTGAGATAAAATCTCTTTTTCGAGGGAGACCTGGCCAAGGGGCAGCAGTACAATAAGACATATAAAAACACGTAAAAGCAACATAATAAAATCAATCATAAACTAGACTTTAGAATAACAGTTACAATTCTCTGTGTATTTATAAACATAATTCACCCAAATTGATCATAACTAACCAGAAACTAAGAAAGATAACTAAATAATCAAAACACATTATCTCAAAACAGAAATCAAACAATACAGCATAATAAATAATAAATAAATAAATAAATAAATAAATAAAAAGTTAATATTTAACAAGTTTTCCAGTACATATATATGTGTGTACGTGTATATATATTATATTATATTCGGTACATATCCATCTGTAAATTTAGTTCATAACACTAGTTATCTATATATTATATTCATCTAATAGTAAGATTCTGTCTATAATGGTATTGATCTCTATACTTATTCAGTAGAAACCCATGTCCTGTATTTATGGAATAATTTTCATTTGATTTTTCCTGCACTTGCTGCTATTGCACTTCTGGTTAGATCTAAAATGCATTTCGTTGCCTTGTACCTGTACCTATGTAATCACAATAAAGTTGAATCTAATCTAATATATATATATATATATATATATATATATATATATATATATATATATATATATATATATTGCATTACGCTATATATATATATATATATATATATATATATATATATATATATATATATATATATATATATATATATATAATAAAAGTATATATATATATATATATATATATATATATATATATATATATATATATATATATATATATATATAATAAAAGTATATATATATATATATATATATATATATATATATATACTTTTATTATATATATATATATATATATATATATATATATATATATATATATATATATATATATATATATATATAATAAAAGTATATATATATATATATATATATATATATATACTTTTATTTATTTATTTATTTTTATTAAAAAATAGCTTAAACGTTGATATAGCTTAAATTATTTTTAACGTTATTTATAATTTTATGTATCGTTTTATACACCGGAAGCTTTTGTTTCACACCGGAAGCATACTTTACATTTCTGACGCGCTCAAACTTCCGCTGCGCATTTTCAGGTTTGTTTGAGTGTTTTAATTTTCCCTGGGCTCAATTTCATCATACTTTGCATTTACGCTGTCATTTTCAATTATCGACACTGCCACGTGCTCCCTGTTAAATGCGTGTAAAAACCTGGATATTTATTTATCTTAAAAATAAGTATTTAGCGCCAGAAATTCACTAGCAACGGTCCCTCATGCTAATGCTAAGGCTAACGCTTGGTAACGTGTTAGCATTTTGCTAACCCTAAAGTAGGAAGGTCAAAATATGCGTTTATATTGCTCTTGACTTTTTATTTTTTAGGTAGGTTGTGGCAAGCTTTCAGACTTTTATTTATAGTTTTGTTGTTTTAGGCAAATAACCCTGTTATAACATAACTGACAGTGTGGTAGAGTTAATTGACAACATTCAATCCATCTCTGATACACCTAATGTGATAATATGTCACATTTAAATCCGTATGTTACATACATTTACAGCGTTATTTAGTTGTATCTGAAAAAAATTGAGTTCTGTTTTCACAAATGAATCTGGTGTTACACGATGTTCTCTTGAGCTGTTGAAATTAGTTTTGTGACATTATATTTAGGTATTAATCCTGTAGCATTAGGGTTAGTAGAGTTAGTAGACTAAATATGATTTGTCAGAAAACCTTTTATATAACCGACTCCAAATGTATTTTTATTTTATTTATATATTTTTCTTATTGGAATTAAATCAAATTCTGGAAAGAACTGGTAGATTGGTGAAAGGATTTGCAATTTAGCTGAAAACGTAAGCCTGTTATATCAGTCAATATCTATAATTATTGAGTAGCTGTTTCAACATATATGAAATAAGGACCAGGGGGAAGAAAGGCTGAAATTCAGTTGTTATCCTAAACCTATTTATTAATCTTAATCTCTAACCTTTCAAAATAGATGAGCCCTTTAGCTTGGCTAAATCCCTCTTTTTACATCCCTTAGAATTCAGGGTATTTGTGGATCGGACTTTAGTAAAACAGTACAGTAGAAAATTTTACCGGACGTATTTTGTATTTAGCAGGTGTCCATAGTTATATACTTTCATGTAGATTTATAAAATTCTTAAGATATTGTAACCTTGGGTTATTATTATTGGATAATTTTTAATTATTAATTTTTACATATATTTTTTTTTAATTTAATTTTTTTGTTTTTCCTCTAAGTTTGCTTGTAGAAGGTCTAGAATAGAAGTTATGTTAGTTTTATTACTCTTTTTGCTTGGGGTGACTGCTGCTTGGAAGAAATGATCTTTCAAACGAATAAACTGTAGTTTTAAAAGTTGGCACTTTTAGAGTTTTGGGTGTTTATCCTACTTTACACACCATGGTTTTAAAATATAAAACACAAGCATAGAAAGAGCTTCGGCTGACTTAGATTGTTTCAGAAATCATTCTAAGTTATGTAAGAGTCACAGCTTACAGAAAAAATGTTTCTTTGTGTTTATTTTATTGCCTAAAATCCTGAGGACAGAGAAATCGGTAAAATGGCTCTATATTTTCATTATAAATTATAATTTTTGTTACTATTAATATTGACTGTGGGATTGTTTCGGTAATTAAACATTAGACCTGAAATTAAATCAAAGCCTTTGAGTCAGTTCTACTGCTCATGTAATTAGCACTGCTTAATTAAAGTGTCTGGTGTCCATAAATGGATGTTTTCTGGCTTGTTTTTTTACCCGGATCTCATAAAAGTAATGTGCACTACCTGTACTACTGATAAACCTTTGTTCATATCTGTGTTTGTCATGTGAACCAGGTGGAGGCGAGTGGATGCTGATGGGGGACAAAAAGGAGACCTGGAAAGTTAAAACTCTTGACGAAATCTTACAGGAAAAAAAGCGCAGAAGAGAATTAGAAGAGAAAACCGATCTTAAGCGGCAGAAAAATGTAAAGTGTCTTCAAGAAAAAAACATGCATGCTGTGATGATGATCAAAACTAAACTGTGAATTCAAGTCATTATAGTGGGTTTCAGTAATTGATGTGTTGCTAAAATCTAATTTAACCTTGTTGTAGTGATTAGCTATGATCATTTAATGATTATTGTTTCAGATTTGATCCCTAATGGTGACCTTCTTGTTTTTCCCAGTTCTCCCACGGCGTTGTTCCACAGGCGAATGATCGGGAACCGAAACAAGACACTCCGGAGGAAGGAGAACTACGAGATCAAAGAATGGAAATAACAATTCGTAATTCCCCGTACGTACGGGAGGACTCAACAGAGGACAGGTAAATGAAATAATTCTTTTTGTAGTTTTGTTTATAGTGAAGGTTGTTATATCTAACAGCGTTTATGTTGCGTTTCTGGTAGAGGAGATGAAGATGAATCTTTAGCAATCAAGCCCCCACAGCAGGTAGCGAGGAAGGAAAAATCCCACCACCGAAAGGAGGAGAAGAGAAAGGATAAAAGACGTCAACGCAGCCACTCTGCTGAAGGAGGTCAGACATTTGATTGGTTTTCAGACAGAAATGTTTTGCTTGTTCTCTCTTTTGATTGTAAGTATTAAAGCAGGGGGAAAACACGTACGAGCCAAAGACAAAGAAAAAGAGCGAGATAGCGACCGCAGGAAGCGCCAATGGGAAGAAGATAAAGCCCGAAGAGACTGGGAGAGGCAGAAACGAAGGGAACAAGCCAGAGCTCATTCTCGCAGAGAGAGGTGAGCGCAGTAATGAAGAGCTCCTCATTTGATGGTAGGAAAGCAGATCTGGTTTAAATTAGAGTTGGGGTGGGCGATATGAAAATATTAGTGTGAGGAATTCCCAAAGCAGAGCTGTAGTGGCGTACAATCCATGCACTGCTCAGATGCATCGGTTCCTGTTTCCTCCGTTTCCTTCAGCCTAATAAATCCTCTTTAACAGGAATTAAATAATTACTCTTTTAAATGTTTACTGTGGATAATTGAATAGTCAATGGAACAGTTTTAGAGTATAAGGATCTTTAAAGCCATATTTGGGTACAGTGCTATTAAAACTCAGTTTTTTTGTTTGTTTTGTTTTGATTGTCCAACAAATGCAATTGAAGATATTTTGTCCTCATTACACACAGAAGAATACTACAAGAACACTCTCCTCCTCCAGCTGTTCCTAGGTCACTAGCGCCTACGGCTAAGTAAGTAAACACTTAGGTGGGTGTTTGCCGGCTCCAGATTGGTCTGGTTAGTCTGTTTTAACTTATCCACTTGTGAGGTTTTGTTTATTATCTACATTGTTTTTTAGGGATCTGCCTTTAGTCGGCAGGAAAATCAAAATGCTTCTTTTTTTGTAGCATTGATACAGCAAACCTTAACAATTCAGTTTAATAGAAAGTTAAAGTAAGAAAATATAATTTTTGCTTGTTAAAAAGGCTTAATATCATCAGAACAGCCTGAGCCCTGGGGATGAAAGACTATTTTATGTTGTTAAAGAAAAAAGAAACATTCTCAGTTTGTTTGTGAGAGATTCAGAGCATAGGAAGCAATGTTACATGGTTAACTACCATGCCACCATAAGGATAATGTCAATGGTAACATTTATGATTAATTAAAAGATATCTGATTTAAGCTCAGAACAATTAATTTAAAGAACTTCTTATTGTCGTGATCCCTTAAATGTTCATCTTTCCCTGATTTGTTTATATTTTAAATTCAAATTAAATGTTTGAGGTTTGACAAAACAGTTTGAAACAGTTTATTTTAAGTACAAACTATTCCAGCGTATTAATTAAATATCAGTTGTTCCAACGAGTTAAATTTGTACAATTTTCAAAATCTGTTTAGACATACTCTGCTCTTTATTTTCTATTAGGATTTTTCGTCGTGAAATTGTGCTGAAATCTGGATTTCTCTGTTCTAAAGGTTATTCTATATATCTACCATATTGCCCACCCCCTGAGTTCAGTGTTTCCTTCCAGTTTTGCTGTAGTTGTGCATTCACTCCCTAAAAATCTCTGAACCAGACAAACACATTTGGTGGTGCAGAGTTTCCTGCTTTTCCTATTATTTTAAAGTATTCGTATCATTCGTCCTCTACAATGACAGGGACCGTCTGGAACAGCAGGAGCGCCAGCGGGAGCGAGACCGAAAGATTCGAGAACAGAAGGATCAGCGGGAATTCAAAGACAGAGAGAGAAGGGTGGACGATCGACACAAAGAAAGAGCGACTCGTCGAGAAAGTTAGTCTCTTTCCATGTGTTATTATTGTTCTTTCATGGTAATTGAATAATTTGTGACACTCAAGGTGATAAAACCCGTTACATTAGAACCAAAGGTGAAATTTTACAGCTTTTCTGAACTGTGATTTTTGCTTATTTCATCAAAAATGGAGCTTAAATATCTTATGTTACAAATAAAATCTCAGGGTTTATGTTTTGGGGGGATCTCAATAAAGCTGAGATTCCAGAAAGTCACAGCATTTATAAATCCAGCATGCTTTTATAAAAAACAGAGAATGGAAGCTCAAAGGGACCAAAAAGGTCAGTTTTTCTGCACCATGATCAGCCTTCCAGATAATTGCTGAAAATGTTGCTTTGTCCTGCTGCCTGAATGAACTTTAAAACATCAGACAGTCGTGGGGTTGAAACAATAAATTGGATTAATTGTGATTGATCGATTATTTGTATAATCATCGTCTAATTTAATAGTAATCGATAAGTTGTAGACTGGAGTGTAGCATCTGAAACATGCTTTTAACTGACAGTCACCCACTTAGAGCAGTAAGTCTACCAAAATTATAAAAGAAAATATTTAAATATTTTGCATTTAACATAAACATTTTCATCTGTCAATATGCTCTTTCCAGAATTCCTCAAGTGGAAAATTTTTATTTAGTTTAGTTTACTTATTTAAGGAACATTTGGTTATCCAATTATTAATTGATTAATCGAAAAATAATGGACAGATTTATCAATTTGCAAAATAATCATTAGTTGCAGCCGTAGACAGTGGCTTATAAACTGCTTTTTTATATCACTGCTTAATCAGAAATTTTATGATAATAATTTTTAACCTCGCACTGCTGTCAGTGTATTATTAGCTATGGTGCATTTACTGGACAAAAACAGATCTTGTTATTTTGTATCGAGCTGACATTTCACATTAAAAGTTGTCTGATTTTAGGTAAAAAGCCTTGTTTTTTTTTTTCCCCACATCTCTGCTAATAGAGTAGAAAAGTAAAAAATTTGTGAATACTTTTATTGTCCCACAATGGGGAAATTGTTGTAATGGAAATAACTCAACAGATTTAGTCATAAAACTCTGTTAACCTGCATTTTAAATCTTTAAATTCTCAGTGCCATCTCACCATCGCATGCTGCCTGATGAGTACGATGACAAGATCAAACCAGCTCACCACAGTCGCAGTCCAAACCGCGGCTCCCGGGACAGGTCCGAGCACAGTGAGCCGCGGAGGCTTCCACGTGAGTTTGGTATAAAATCTTTGAGCCCTTGAGAGAAAATCCTTTCTGTATCATTTGCATTTAGATTGATTTTAATTTTCTATTTAGCAACAAAAGACGAGAGGCCCGATATTCAAGACTTGCTTTCAGACCTCCAAGACATTAGTGATGCTGAAAGGAAGACGAGCACAGCAGAATCCTCCATGGGTAAGCTGCACCTAGCAAAGGCCCTCTAGCTTCAGCAATCCTACCCCAGTTATTCATCCTTTTATTAAAATAAATTTTATAATTACCCTTTAACATGAACAAAAAAGTAAATAAATCTGATTATCAATCACTGGTCCTTGTCTGCAGCTCTCATCTTTCTACACGCTGAGTACTTTCATTTTATCAGTCAAACTCACTCATGTCTGTTTGTTGTTTTTTTTTGCATTTGCTATCTTTCTATCTTGTTTAGCATCAGGGTCGGGATCTGAAGAGGAGGAGGAAGATGATGAGGAAGAAGGCCAAGATGAGTCCAGCAGCCAGAGTGAGGGTGAGGAGGAGGAAGGGGAGGAAGAGGAGGAGTCTGCCTCGGCCTCGGGGCGGTCTGAGCAGAGTGCTGGTAAAATATATTAAACTTCCTTCTCTAAATGTTAGGCATGTCTAATAACAACCGTGATTAATGCAAAGACTTTTGCTTCTCAGAGGATATAAGCGAGGAAGAGCAGTCAGAGGAAGAATTTGAAGAAGAGCGGGGAAATGGAAAGCACATACCTGCAGGTTGGTAGCTCACCAACATATTAGCTACTTTTTGGAAGTAATTATAGAGAAATAAGAAGATATTGAACTTTTTAAAATGATGTGAATCTTTCAACAGCTTCTTTTTGAGGTCCATTTCTCTTTATTTGAATTTAAACTAGGGATTTCACAGGCAGGGTTGTTTTAACATTAATGATGTTTACATGCAAAAAATGTAACTCTCGGATTAGATTGTGTATGGACTAGAAAACAAAATATAATCAGGTTCTACTGTTTATATGGGCATAATTACCCAAATAAAACGGCCAGTCTGGCTAAAAATGTTTTTTTCCTCAGACTTTATGATTTTAACCTTTCTGACATGAAATATTTTGACCAGTGCTATGTTGGTCTACCTATTCTTCAAATCTCTTTTTAAAGACTAAAAAATATTAAATCAACAAAACAAGTGTCACAGTTTAAAGTGTATTGTTTTCAAGCTGTGCAACTAGCAGATAACTAATAAGGTTGTTTGTAAAAAGCATGGCTGCGAGGTTCACTTGGGTGTGCAGCTCATAAACGTATCAGTAGTAGATCAATAACAGATAGTAGGAGTTGAGTTTCATTAAGGATTATGCTACCAATCATTTGGAAATGCCTCTATTAACCTGCTTAATTCATTAATAGAAAACGTGTTTTATTTTTTCTTTAAAGAACATCCTCAGATTTAAGTGTTTTGAAGGCAAAATATCATCTTTACATGAGATGATTTTACTTAAAAGATCAAAAGAAAAAAACCTAATGTGACAAAGATGATAAACAAAGAGCAGCGGGCTGCTTGTCTTCTTGAAAATGGGGGGTCTGCTGTAAGCAAATGACAAAAAAACCCACAAACCCTTCTGTAATTATAACAGTGTTTTGAAGTTAATTTTAGCTGAGTTTGGAAAATACAAGGAAATAAAAAAGATCCAATCTAGAATGAGGGAAACCTTTGTAGCTGTAAATCTCTAAATGTAGTTTGCTCTTCAGATTCTAAGTGATTAAAAGTCTTGAAGAATTGATAAAACTGCATATCTATGCCTCTGAAAATAATAAAATAATAACTGAGATATGGATTGATCTATAATACAGACTTAAAAAAATTAATTGTCACATCATTACAATGAGTAAGATACTTAACCCTGAGAGGCAAACTGAAGATCAATTTTTCTTACAACTCGTTCATCTGGATAATTATTAAGGTGGAAATATTTTGACAGTTAATGAAAAAAACTTGTATAGTCCAACATCAAGTGACTTAATTTGCTTATGATTTTAGAAAAGTTTTAAATATTTCCTAAATTGTGATTTATTTATTTAATCTTGATTTTATCTAATCTTTATTTATTTTATTTAAGCTTTACTATTTCATTATTTTATTTAATTATTTAGGTTAAGTCAGTGAGATGTAACGTAATTAGGGCTCCAACTAACAATTATTTTGCAAATCGATTAATCTGTCGGTTATAGCCAAAGGTTCCTTTAAGAAGATTTTTTGCAATTTTTAACGAGGTGAAACTAAAACTTTTCCACTTGAGGAATTTTGAATAGAGCATATTGACAGACAAAAATTATTATTTTTTTTTATCTTAAATGCAGTGTTTACATATGTTGTATCAATTTTGGTATATTTATTGCTCTAAGTGGGTCGCTCTGTCAGCTAAAGGTAGGTTTAGAGTCTATATACTCCATTTAACGATTAATCAATTACTAAATTAGTTGAGGAACATTTCAATAATTGATTGATGATTTATTTCTTATGCCCTAACCGTAATGTTTGGTTAGACTGTAATTTAGAGCACCTCCACTAAAGACTGAGAAATTCAGCTTCAGAAGCAAAAGATTGAACAAGTAATTTGTGAATTCTAGACCCTCACGAGTTGACTAATGTCGCCGTCTCTGTCGCAGTTCCAGAATCACGATTCGACCACGATTCTGAGGAAAGTGGAGAGGAGGAAGAGGAGGAGGAGGAAGATGAAGAAGAGGAAGAGGAGGAAGAAGGCAAAGAGGGCATAGCCACCCCTCAGTCCCAAACTCATTCCCACTCCGCTACGCCCGAGGAGAACTACATCCCAGATTCCCCTCCAGTTTCACCGGTGGAGCTGAAGAAGGAGCTGCCCAAATACCTGCCGGCTCTGCAGGTGAGTCTCAGCAGCAGATTGTTCCTCTGTTGGCTCCACTGAAATCACAGCTTTCAGAATCCCCATCAAAGGCCTTCATAGTTATACTGGGGTAAGCGGCGTCAGTGACGGGCTTATAAAATGTCAACGTAGGATATTTAGAGACTTTTTAGATGTGGAATAAAGACCATTATCGAGTCAAGCCAGGAGATGCATCAGGTTTCAACCCTTCCAGGAAAAAGTCTGACCCAAAAATGTTGTTTCACTTTAATTTTACAGTAATCCTCAAGAATCGCCACAAGATCCCATCTGTCTTTTTTGTTCGATTGCGTTACTGAAATACTACTCAGCTTCCTTCTCCTGTGAATGAGGCTGTTAGCTTTCTAGCTGCAAACCTGCACCAATGAAGAAACGATGGGAGGTAGGGCTGGGTAAAAAAATTTATTTAATCGATTTTTAATCGATTCCTTTACATTTTTGCAAAATCGATGTCTAGGTAATGAGATCGATTAGTTTTATAGTGACTTGCGTGACGTTCACATTCAAATGAGCAGGAAAGATGCAATCAAGATTACTTCAAGCAAGACAGCTTCAAATATAGCCAATAGGTTGATTGAAGACATTAACAAATGGAGGCTGACCAGCAAACACCCTGTAGTTGATACAGACAACCCTGCAAATATGGTTTGTGTAGTGGAGATAATGGAGCTCACACATGTCTGCTGTGTCCCCGATGTGTCACAGCTGCTTGCTCGTGTGAGGCTTCACTTTTCACAAACAAGTTTGCACTTTTGAGACAGTTTTGTTCACATCTTAAGTTTAAACTGTCAAGTACAAGTTTGCGCTTTGTGTTTAATATGATAGGAAAAAAAAAAATACATGAGTATTTTGAAACACAGTTGAACAACTTTCATTGTTTTAAAAACAGATTGAATAAAAATTAATCGATTTAGAACTTTATGAATCAAAATCGAATCGATTCAGGACTTTGGCAAGAATAGTCAGCCCTAGTGGGCGGGGCTTACATTGTGCTCACATGTTTGCCTCGCTTCTTCTCTTCTAACACTGTTGTCAACCAGCTAACGACTTTTAAGACCCCTCTGGCAACTTTTATTTTTCTAAAAGCAAAGTGCAATGAGAATAGTTATTTACTTCTGTGTTTTTGGCGACTATTCTCTGAGTTCACTGCATTGGGCAAACAGCGAGCGCAGCTGCTTTGGCGCTGACTGGCTCCCAGTGCAGCAGACTGCCTGAGGTCAGAGGAGAGGCAAGATCAACATGTGTGTTTCCCTACTAATTGAATTATGCATGAGCAAAGTTTCCAGTGATTCTCCCCTAGATTACACAGCAGGATGCAAATATAAGTTAGACATAATCTTTTACAGAATGTTTTGGGGTTTTTTCTCTGAAAATATAGCACTTAGATAATTCACACACTGCCTCTCTTATTAATTCACCTCATCAGCTCTGTGGGCCTCTTACATCTTCTCCCTGAATTTGATAATATTAAAAATGTTCTATAGTTTTGATTCAGGTAAAATATTAATGAATACTTTGAATTATTTTATAGAGTTCCTTTTTTATAGTTTGTGTGATATTTAGAGTAGAGCTGGTTCATTGATTGTATTTGCGATATAATTGCTATTTAACAAAATAAAATAAATTCTCCAGTCTTATAGGTGGTGGTAATAGCATAGTTGCCCCACATAGAATGGATAAGAGTTTCAGCTTAAGCACATATCCATAAGAAAATGAAACCCTGTAGTTAAACACATAAACCAGAGGTCACAGATTAGCGGACTATGGTCCAGATCCGGATCCACCTGCTGGCTAATCCGAACCCAACCTGATTTAATTCAATTCAATTCAGTTTATTTATATAGCGCCAAATTCACAACACATGTCATCTCAAGGCACTTTACAGTTCAACCAGATCATACAGTCAAATAGAACATTTATAAATTACAGCATGTTGTCCGACGACAGTGTCTAACTTTACTTGCGCTGCTTCTCCTGTTAATATGGTAAAGGTCCTCCAGGGCATCCGGGACCAGGCTACACGTGATACAAATTAGCCAATGAGCTGCTGTCAGTCTGGGTTGCTGCTGCTGCTACTTTTAGACTCAGCAGGCAAACCTGTGGCAGCCGGGCAGTGGGAAAGAAGGAGAAGATGAGAAAAGGCAAGCAGAGAAAGTGTGGACTGCTGAAAAAGCTGTGGTGAACTGGTGAAAGAAAAGTGAGATGCCGTGCTCAAAGATAACCCTGGACATTTAGAGTATGTTTGGCTCAACCCGCTGCTGTGAAGCAGGATTCTCCATCATGAACATTATCAAAAATAAATATGGATCCAGGCTCAAAATAAGCACCTTGAGTGCTTGAGAATGGCTTTGTCTCCATTCAAACCCAGGTTTAAAGCCTTGCAGGGCAGCATACAGCCCACTTCTCTCATTAAGCCAGAAAAAACAAAAAAACAAAAACAAATGGTCAGTTCAGGTTTTTTATAAAATATGTGAATGAGAAAATTGTCTATATACCAAACTGAATGATTGTTGTCTACTTCAAAAAACACTTCAGATTTTGTTGTTGTTGACATTTCTTATTTAAAAATTCAATGTATTACACGGATGAATAAAAAACTCGTTTTTAATATCAGTGTTGAATTCTGTTTAAAGTAACAGATTGTAATTAAAAATGTCTCCGGACCTTTACCGGTAGGGTTGGGAATTGAAAAGATTTTCACGATTCCGATTCCCTTTTCGATTCTATGAAATTATTCGATTCTTTATCGATTCTTTTTTCGATTCCAATTTGGGGGAAAAAGGAGAACAAACAGTTTGATTATCAGAATCAACTTTGTTTACTTAACTATTGCACAATCTTACAAACTCAACAAGATCAAGATGTCCACAGGAAATGTGAAACTGGAGTAACATCTGTGTTTAAATGAAAAATAAATATACAAGAACAAACTTAATAACCAACAATGTCTAATAACAAATGATGGGATAATAACCTATTTTAAATAACAAAAAATACTAATTATAAAACAGTAGTAGGAAAAATTAACAGTTCTTTTGCAGAAAGATGAGCATATCTGCTTTTTCTGGAAGGATACAGGATCTTTCAGGGCTTATGGTGTCTCCAGCCGTGGAGAACACCCTCTCAGATGGGGTGGAGGAAGCCTGCACACAGAGGTAGTTTTCAGCCAGTCAGATAGCAAGGGCAGCGTATCTTGCTTGTTCCACCACCACAGTGTGGCGCTATCCCTGCAGGGGATGGAGGGCAAGCTTTTATAGAGCTGGATTTCCTGATCCACCCTCTGGGCTAAGGAAAGACGGGGCTTTGATTCACAAAGTGACCGCAGCTCGTTGTCTTCCTCCTCGAATAGTTCTTCCAACTTGCGTAACTTGCGTAACTTGCGTAACTTACGTAAAAAACGTGACGTAAGTCGTGCTCCCCAGAGCCGGCGCTCTAGGCTCTGGTGCTGCGGGAATCGAAAAAAGAATCGTTCAGTGAGCTGCCAAACGATGCCATGGAATCGGAAAATACGGAACCGGTTCTTAACAGGAACCGGTTTTCGATTCCCATCCCTATTTACCGGTTGATGATTTTCTTTATTCAGGTGCTGCTGACTTTTTAATTGGTTACCTCTGGCGTAGATGCTCGGTGTTAGTGCGAAAGAAAATTGCGATTGCAAAGTGGTTCAAATTAATACCGTATTTTCACGACCATAAGGCGCACCGTACTAAAAGGCGCAGTCTCAGTTATGTGTGCCATTTCTGTATTTAACATACACATAAGGCGCACCGGACTATAGGGCGCGTTTTTTATATACAGGTACATGTCCTCTACTACCTTTAAATAGCTCTACTGCGTATTTAAAAATACAGCGGGGGCAAAACTGAGTATGACTGTGCTTTATTCATGTATTTATTAAAAAGTATTAATCAAACCTGGCAGCTGGCCGTGAGACAGACACATCGCAGATGACAAAGCGCTGTGATCACTCCTAAATTAACTTAAAATCCTGAAACCTGCCGACGGAATATGTTCGCTTTTATGGGTGCCTGCAGTTTAAATTATTTAGATGAAAAACACCTGCCATCCACCGCGTGAACCCGGAGGCTGCCCAGCCTAGAGGCTGCTGATGAAAGGATTTCTGCTGTCGGCGCACCGCTGGTATGTGGGGGTCTGAGCGCCTCCGACAGAAATAGATAATCTGGATGAACTGACTGCAATTATTAAGTTTTCAGGTGGCCTTTCTCACTTAAAAACATATTAAAACTACTTTATTCCCACTGATCACAGCAAATATAGCTGCAAGATTTAGATTATTTAGATGAAAAAACACCTGCCAGCCACCGCGGTGAAGAGGAGGAGACCCGCCCAGAGGCTGCTGTTGAATTAAGTTTTCAGGTAGAAAAATAGAGCGGGAGCAAAACTGAGTATGTTTGTGCTTTATTCATGTATTTATTACAAAGTATTAATCAAACCCATCAAAGTCATCATCCTCTGTTTCTGAATTAAACAGCTGCGCTAAATCAGACATGCCAATTTCCCATTCTTCGCTGTCAGTCACTTTCCGTGCAGCGCGGCTCCTCAGAAATAATGCCGGCTTTTGCAAAAGCTTGTACAACAGAGCCAGCAGACACGTTAGTCCAAGCATCAACAATCCATCCGCAAACGGTGGCGTAACTTGCCCGGCGCTGCCTTCCACTTATCCTGAAACTGTGGTCTCCGTCGGTCATCCATCGCTCCCACGCCGCTCGCAGCCTTACTTTGAACGGCCGCTTCACACCGATGTCGAGCGGTTGAAGCTCCTTTGTCAGACCCCCCGGGATAACGGCGAGCACAGCGTCCATTTGATTCACCTTTTTTTCACATCGGCTGTGAGATGGGCACGCAGCGATGGTGATGCGTGGAAAAAACCACCTGGTCTCCTCACATAGGCTACACCTCCCTCAGCTACGCTTTCATTATCTCCTCATCCATCCAGCCTTTTTCATTTGCGTTAATATCATGTCATCAGAGCGCTGTGTCTGTCTCGCTGTCAGCTCCCAGATCAGCTTCTCTGATTGGTTGATGCGGCGCGTCCAGCAGCAAAACTTCAATTTTTTCATCTCGAGCAGCAGCAGCGCGTTGGCAGATGCTTAAACGCTCCTGCTGCTCAAAACGCGCTGCAGGACCTTTTGCTGCACCTATACGCGCGTCAACCATTGACTTTGCATGTAAACTCGCTGCTTCTGCTGCACCTGCTGGGTCCGGTTCACACCGATATCGAGCGGTTGAACAGCGAGCACAGCGTTAATTTGTTTCCCCATGTTTTTCACATCAGCTGTGAGATGGGCACGCATGGAGTTACATATTAACAGCGATGGTGATGAGTGAAAAAAAAAAACACCTGGTCTCCTTACATTCAGCCACTCTTTCATCATCTCCTCAATGAGGTGGTCTCAAAAGTCGCAGTTACAACACACATAAGGCGCACCGCACCAAAGGGCGCACCGCACATTTTGAGGGGAAAAAAAAGACGTTTAAGTGCGCCTTATAGTCGTGTAAATACGGTAATCACAGTTTTGATCTTTTTAGCTAAATTGCACAGCCCTAATTTAGAGTGTTTTAATCACTTTATCATGTCAATTTGTCAAAATAAAATTAAAAAATTATTTTAAGATGTAGCGTTTCGGCCCTTTTGTTTATATATACAGTTATTTATATAGTGTTTACATTGCTCTATTATTTTACAAAGTATTTATTTTGTACTCTTGTGTGGTTTTGTTCAAAATGTTAAAAAATAAACAGTTGGTTCTTATTTTTATTTGTTTTTTCCCTTTTGATCACCAAATTAAAAAAGATTAAAAACTGGATCAATAAGGACTTTTGTTAAGAGTAGTCCGATCTATAAATTCTAAGCGATATCCATCCAACATTATTACCTAACGTTTTTTTATTTTTGGTTTAGCTCAGTTAGGCTAATATAGATTTGGGGTTTTGTGAATTTAAATAAGTTCTGCCCAGAAAGGTCAGCTCTGGTTCTGCTATTGCTTCACCATAACAGACTGTTTACTTCTGTCGGATTCCTCAACAGCCTTTCTAAACCATCGCTCATTCATTTTCAGTCAGCTTAGGGGAAGCGCATGCTGGTTGTCTTCATTAATGGTTTTTTATTATCTTATGATTGTAACGCTGTGTTCAGGGTTGCCGGAGTGTCGAAGAGTTTCAGTGTCTGAACCGAATAGAGGAGGGAACCTATGGAGTGGTTTACCGAGCAAAGGACAAGAAGACCGGTATGAGAATGAGCTGCTGGGTGTGTTTTTGTTCTCCTAGTTTTAAAACAGGCCTGTGTGAGATCAATGCTGTTATATTTGTAGATGAGATTGTTGCCCTGAAGAGACTGAAGATGGAGAAGGAGAAGGAAGGCTTTCCCATCACATCTTTAAGAGAGATTAACACAATCCTCAAAGCTCAGCATCCAAATATCGTCACAGTCAGGGTGAGACAACTTGACGTCACGTTCGGGCAATAATATTTGCTTTTTGTGATGTTTGTAGAATGATGACGTTCTGATTGTTTTGTTCATTTATGGCAGGAAATAGTAGTTGGAAGCAATATGGATAAGATCTACATTGTGATGAACTATGTAGAGCATGACCTGAAGAGTCTAATGGAAACCATGAAGCAGCCCTTCTTGCCTGGTAATGTGGTGTAACATTCCTTTTTATTTAAAAGTAGAGAATTACTTTTTTAGTCATTTATTTTTTTTAAACGTGTTTGTTTTTTACCAGAAGCATACTTACAGTGTGTTACTTTTTTTTATTTTTATTTTTTAGGTGAAATAAAGACACTTATGCTTCAGCTGCTTCGGGGAGTCCGACATCTCCACGACAACTGGATCCTCCATCGGGATCTTAAGACGTCTAACTTGCTGCTGAGCCATAAGGGAATCCTCAAGGTAAACTGGTGCTGCAGTTCCAAGCTACCACCCTGAAATGAAAGTGTATGTGGTGGATTAATGCGGTAGAAGAAAAGGCAATAACGTGGTCGTATGGCTTAAATGTCCTGATTTAAACGTAATTATTAATCTCTAAGGTTTAAGTTTATTAAAAGCCTCATTAAAAACTTCATCGGTTAGGACTCCTATTATCTGAGTTCAGTCATGGCTGCAATTCCTTAATGAAATTTGCACAAAAAAAACAAAAAACAAACTTTTTTTTCTCTCCCTTGTGTTAATGCTTCATTTAGTATTGGTGGAAACTTACCCCAGAACACCACTGTGGTGAAAACAAAGAGGTACCCATTAAACTGAGCTATTACTGGGTGTCTTTTTTTCTTTTAGCTTTTCAAATTGGATGAAATTAATAAGATATTTCTAGTTAAAGTTTAAAGGAATAGTACACCCAAAACATGATTAGCCTTCATTTTCTACTCACCCCCATGCGGAATAACACTGTGGAGTACTTTTTTGATATCTCAAATGCATCTGGAGATCTGGGAGGCTTCTTGCTGTCTGCTGACATTCAAATAATGGAGGTTTATGGCGCCCGAGAAAGGTCCATAAAAGTCCACAAAAAACGTGTCAATATTCCTCCATACTGCTCGTCCAATGTATTCCAAGTGTCCTGAGTGGGTAGCGTCCATAATTTACTCGAAACGAAGTCATTTAGAATGTTTTTAGAGCATAAACAGTAGTGTATAGGATTTCCTAAAAGCGCGTTCACGAGTCTACGGAAACCGCGGCAGACCAAACCAGACGAAACAGTCCCAAGTTCTTATTAATGAGCTAGAAACAATAGAAAAGCTACCCTCATTTTTTTCTTTAAGCTGCTTGCTGCTCCCTGAGGTTAGGCAGGGCTTCTGTCTACATATTGGTGTGTTTAACTGCCTCACCGTGACTGCATGGACTTATCTGCTGGAGCACAAAATGGTTTTCATTATATTTGATCAGCTGCTAATTTTTACCTCCAAAGTGTCAAATTTGATCACCTCCTTGATATCAGGTTAAATGGAAATATGTCTGTACATTGTTTTTATTTTATCTTGCATTTCTTCCCTACCTAAAATATTTTCCCTCATATTTAACATTGTAAGTGTCATACATAAATGAGTTTATGAAAAATAAATAAAGCATCTTTATTTGAAGTAATATGTTAATTTAGAAAATTTAAATATAATTTTGTTATAATAATGAAATAGATTTGAAGCAGTAGTTTTTCAGGGAAGAAATGCAGAGCCTTATATGTGAGGTCATCTCCTTGGCTTTATTTATTAAAACTCTGTTCATGCTGATAATTTACTCTGAAATTATGGGATTCTTTTTCAGTTTGTCACAGCTTGGAGATGATTTTAGGATAAATCTTTAAAACCCTGTCAGTTATTTTTTCTTGCTTAAAATGTGAGGAAGTCCCTTTAAAGAGGCCATATGGCGCTACATCAGCACTTTTGGCCTATAAATGCATATTATTGTTTGCTTGGATACCTTCATATCTTCATGTTCTGTTTGAGTCATATTTTTCAATCCCTACAGTTTTTTTTTAGAATCATCATAATGTTCAGTCCCAAAACGTCTAAATGAGGATATAGACTTATGAATTACCATTTTTAAAAGAAACTGAAATGAAGGATTTAAAAGCATATGTCTCCTATTAAAAAAATGATTGCAGCCAGCAATGCTGCAACTGCATTGGTAAAAAAAGAGCAATCATATTGACAGAATTATAAGTTTCTGTTCAACACTGCTGCAGCTAAAAGTCTGTGGACATGATTAAAAAGAAAAACTGTTTTTTAGCCCACTGGGGAAATACATTAATAACAATCGTGGTAAATAAGTTTCAGGGGAAAAAACATTTTGAGGCTTATAGTCAAAATAAACATTAATATAAACTGTTTTCAAGTCAAAAACACATCTGTAACTTGTAGACACCTATCAGCTTAACTATAAATCCAACCTGATATTAAATATAATAATTCCCACAGTTGTTAAATGATCTGACTTGATATACTTGATATAGATGCATTCTGGGAAATCTAAACTCATAACACCAACCTTTGCCAAAGCACTGCAGTCTTACAGTTTTCCCTGTTCCTCCCTGTACTGTAGATCGGGGACTTTGGTTTGGCGCGGGAGTACGGTTCTCCCCTCAAGCAGTACACTCCTGTTGTCGTGACCCTGTGGTACCGATCTCCAGAGCTGCTGCTTGGAGCCAAGGTGAGATTTAAATTTCACACTGCCTTCTCAAACCCCTGGGGTTGGTTAGAAATACCTGAGCAGCAGCTAACATGGCAAACATGAAGGTGATGAACTTCGTCTGAGCCGATTGCATCATCTGGACTGTTAGACTCTGAGATATATTTCCGTTAAAAGACAACATCTGTGAAGCATTTGGCTCGTAAGTCACTAAATACCTCAAGTTGCTGCAGGAGTTGTAGATTCTCATATTATTCAGCCAGACGGCAGAGGCCCAGGAAGCTATCAGAGAACATCCTCTCTCTCTGTGTGTTGCGGTAGGATTTTGCCAGGCAGACTGTCTACTTGATGTTTCTGTGGATTACTACTCTGTTTGTTCTTCTCTCCACAGGAGTACTCTACAGCTGTGGACATGTGGTCAGTGGGCTGCATATTTGGCGAGCTCCTCACCCAGAAACCTCTTTTCCCTGGAAAGTCTGAAATCGACCAAATTAACAAGATTTACAAGGTGAATACCGTTATTTGCCTTTCAAATTTAAACTAAACAGCCACGAAAATGACCAATATTACCTTGTTTACTGTCTATAAATTAAGTGTGCTGATTTTCTTTTTTTAATTTAGTATCAAGACTGTAGTTCAGTGGTTCCTCTCTGGGGGGAGCTGTTTGTAGAAAACTGACTTAAAAGCTTTCCATAAACATTATAACATCATATACCCATTTATGAATTAAATGAATAAAATAATACATATATATTTCATATCTCCTGAAAAGGAAATTTGCTCTCTAACTGAAGTTAAACATCTTCAAACCAATTTATTATTCCTGCTGAAAGCGAAATACTTGACACGAGTGTCTGTAAATGTGTTAACTGTAGGATTTGGGGTCGCCCAGTGAGAAGATCTGGCCAGGCTACAGTGAATTGCCTGCTGTGAAGAAGATGAGCTTCACAGAGTACCCCTACAATAACCTGCGAAAGCGCTTTGGAGCCCTGCTGTCCGACCAAGGCTTCGACCTCATGAACAAGTAGGGCTTCTTCTCATATATTAAAAGTCAAAACTTCATTCTTTCCGTAATATAGCATATTATCACACTATTTATTGTTTGGTTTTAATCCAGCCTTTTATTTGAATATATGTATTCAATGGGGGAAGGATTCCCACATTTAAAAAAAATATTTATTTTCCTAATTTCTTGTCCGACTGCCATTTATTCTTGATCAGGGTGATCGTTTATCATATCACAAAAATTTAGATTGACCGCATAAAGGATTAATTAATATGAATGATGTTTAACAACATCATAGGATTGGCGATTAAGTGACTATATTCAGTATTTGTGTTGTGATAATATTCACACTTTATGTAACTAGCCTATTTTCAAATTTGTGTTTTTTTTAAAAGCATGATCTGTGATTGTGGGCTTATAATCGGCGTGGCATGTAGTCACAGCCATACAGTTACCTAAGAAACACTGTAAAAAGGTCATTAAGAGATTTTTCATCCTCACTTTTATCGTCTTCTTGATAGCACCACTAAATATCATAAGGTTTTAAGTCTAGATCTCCCAGCGCCAGTGGCTTGAGCGTTTTGTTTCATATGCTGCATTTCTAAAGTTAATCAAGAAGGCTGGGAACTTTATGAAACCCAGACCGCCATCTTTCCCTGAGTAGCAGTAAAGCTTGGTCTCTCTGTATAATGAGGTCTAGATCAGAGTTTTGACTTTTTTTTTTATTTCAATTATTTTCTGTGTAAAACATAGGTATTAACGAATGACAAATGTTCTTTTAGACAAATATTTCCAGGATAGCTTTTTCCTTTTGAGACATTTTTACCTTCCTGTATCAAGAACAGTTAACATTGAATAGTTTAGACTCTGATGTTTTAATTAGCTTAAAAAAAGGAATCCCTTTTAGCAGTGATACAGAGATGCATCCTGCTATGTTAAAATGCCCTGGCACAATAATGAGGATATCTGCTTTTTTCCCTCCATTATTTTACATTGAATTTCTCATTAAAATGCTTAATATTATTTTTTAAATTTAATCTGTTACATGACAGAGTTTTTGTTGAAACCATAAGATTTTTTCAATTATCTCCGCTGTCTCTAATTACTGATCCCGGTTGTTTTCATGGACAGGATCTCTGGGTGTAGTCATGGAGAGAAGGATGTTTGATTTGGGAACTTGTTGGTTTTTATAGATGATCAGGTTCTATTTGGTTCCTTCACTGTACTGCAGAGTACAGTTTACCTGTGTCAAATATCAAAGAACCTAAGATCCTTCGAAAAATAAAACTTCAGGAAAATAATATTCCATAAAATATAAACTGTTTTAAGTTTTTTTTTTTTTTTTAACACATATTTACAAGGCATGCCAATGCCTTTGGATGAAGAAATAAATGGTGCATAAGCAACAAGCACTCATCCACAGTCAGTGTGATTTATGCTGCATTTTAAAAGTTTTAACCGTCAATTTTTTTCTCTAACTCCTGTGAAGAAAATATTTGAAACATTTGCTAGTGTCGCAGGAGAAAAAAAATCACTCCATGACAGGAATATCAGCCACTTTAAAAACAAAAACAGAAAAAGTGATGTGCAAAGTTACACCAGAATCAGAGGTTTAATTTGCCTTAAAAAGGGAATTTGACTTTGCCCTTTTGGAGTTGCAGTCATTTGCATCATATTAACTGTAGTTAAAGATGTCCACTGTCTTCTCCACAGTCCTGAATGAGTTAAACCAACGATTTTGACCAGCTCCTGTCTGTATGCAGATTAGCTCTGGATCAAAGCAGCGACAGCGGTGTCATCCGTAAACTTAAGTTCGCAAAAGAAGGGTGAAAGGAAAACACACCCTTAAAGGGTCAGCTATGTTTGTTCTTAAGCAGGAAAAGATGGTCTGCAGCCTTCCTTTCTGTCAGTCAGTCAGAAGGCTGATAATCTTCTGACATTGGGAGCCTTTGGTGGGGAATATCTGGGCTGTTGGTGTTAAAGTCCAAGCAGAAGTACGCCAACAGGATGGTGCTGGACGAACTGGATCCAGGTGAAATTCATCCTCTGCAGACCTGTTTGATTGACTACAGGCCGTCCAACAGGGGCCCTGTGTCTGGCCGCTCAAACGATGAACACCTGCTGCTGTTTTTATTCGGGCGGACCATTCCTGGCAAACCTACATGAAACATGACAGCAGCGGCGGATTGCTCATTTATCAATACGCCTGAGTGAGATCCCATCCAACTTGTTCCAGTTCACAATCCACTCTTCAAGAAGATGTTTGGACAACGCTGTTCCTATGAAAAGCGTTTTCATATCCACAGTAATGGGCTCATATTTTCCTAAAGCTGGTTCCAAATACATGCAAATACAGCTGCAGGGAGAGACTCTGCTCTCAGACCTTTGCTGATCCGCCGAGCTTTTTGTCTACACCTGGATGACAAAGTCTCTCTGCTCACAGCTGCAGTGGACGCTAACAACAAGTTCACTGTCATGCTGCTGCAGGGATCACAGTTCAGTGGAAGTCTGGCGCCCGTCCGCTGCTGCTGAAACTCTCCATCCATCAGAAAGCTTTTTTTTTTAAACGTACAAGGTCAACTTGGAGAGGGTTTCAGTTTAGAAAGCGTGAGGACAGAGCAGTGTAGGAGTCTAGGTTTTAGTCTGGAATAGCACACATTCTTGTGTGGGAAGGCGTGCATGTATTGACATATTTACTGTCAGATCTGTGGAGGTGTCTCTGCACCAGGACTACTTTCTAAACCTGATGTTTTGGGGATTCGATATTTTACTCCATTCATCTTTGTCTTTGCAAGTCTGGATTCACATGTTTTAACTCCTTACAGTTTGAACTCTTCTGTGTTCTTCATCTATCAATGTGCTTACAGCTGCCATATTTGGTACGATTTAAACAGATCTCGGCTCTTTTTCATCCTTGGTCTGGACCTTTTGCAGACATTAAACAAACTTGTGCTTTTCCTTAACAATGTGAATATAAAAGGGCATCAGTTCATCCTAACTTAAAAACAACCTACGTCTTTTTGGACTTAAGCAGTGATTTAAGTACTGAACTCCTACCTGATTTGCTTTCTGTTGCTTAGCAACGCAGCTTCCTGGATGATGCGGGTATCCTCCTTGTGTGATTCAATCTCTGATGGAGTCCAAAATTAGAAATAAAACATCTCTGAACGAGGTGCTCTCAATGATCTTCAAGCTCCTACTGTTTGTGCTGTTTTGTAATAAGACCTTAAATACCCACATCATTTTCCACCATTCCTGCCTCAGGCACAATTGTAACACTTCTAGCTTTATCAACAATTTATAGTTAATTTGCAAAAACTATAACATGGAAGCAAACAAAAAAAATTCTGCTTTAGGTCTGGATCATTCATGTCGACCAACAGACTTTCCTGGTGTGAATGCAGAAGAAAAAAAAAAAAAAAGAAACAGTATTTTGATTTCTAAATTACCGACAAATGGTTAATTGATTAATACAACCTCTTTCAGAAATAAAGAAAAAAAAAACACTGGACATAACTAGATCTGGTTTATAAACTGGTTTGTTGGTTCTTAAACTGGATCTAAACTCAAATTGGCATCAGAAATCATGGACTATGACTCTTGATAATCCAGTTTAGATGTGGGCTTTTTTATATATATATATATATATATATATATATATATATATATATATATATATATATATATATATATATATATATATATATAATTTAAGATGGCACAAACCTCCCCCAAAACGGAGTGAAATAAATGTTAACTATCCAGCAACAACCAAAATTCTGTTGTTTCATAATTTGTCTGACATACAGATAATGAAATCTTAGAATGTTATTCAGTGACCCTTAGAGGAGTATTATTTCAATAAGAAAAACTCATTCCCAAAGGAAAATTTCTTTAAAAAGACTTTTTGAATCTTTAAACCAGAGGTCACGGATTAGCGGACTGCGGTCCAGATCCAGACCCACCCGCTGGCTAATCCCAAACTGATTTTTAATGGGTCACCCCTGCTTTATACGGTGCTGTTCCTTCTTTATAATCATGCCCAAAGTGGTATTTTGTTAGCTTTATACATGACTGAGTAATCCTGCTCTCTATGGAGCAGCGTCTTTTCATAGAGCAGTATTTTTCTCTGATTTCCGATCAGCAAAGTGACGCAGAGCTACCTCATTTCTGCTCAAGGCTGAGACGAAGGCGCTCTTATTGCAGCTAATCTGAGCACCAACAGCAGGTGTTCTATTTCAGCTAACGTCCAAGTGGGAGATTTTTATTTATTTATTAATTTGGCTGAAGGTAGATCTCAGAGTTTGTTCAGCCTTCTGAAAGAAGAGCCTAGTCACCAGAAGTGGTCTGAAATAGGCGACACTTGCATAGGAAAAGGCTGCCTGGTGGTGAAGGCAAGAGTGTTTTTTGGGTTTGGAGAAAAAAAACCTACCAATAACGAATAACTAATCAATATGCTTTAGCCCCAACAGTGGTATTTCATCCTTTGTATGCCTATAGTTGACTTTGGAAGACCTAAAAAGGCACAATATGAGACCTTTACCTGGAACACAGAATATATAAGATTATCCGTGTTTGTTTTGGGAGATGAAACGTGTTTGAGTTGCTGTGACAAAAGCTTTTAATCGAACAGTGCCTCAGACCTTTAGTGCATTTTGCCTGAGCAATAGATGATTGATGCATTGAAGCTAGATGGATTGCAATGACTGAAATGTTTGAGTTGTCCTTTCAGGATTATGTTGCTTATATTTACAGAAAAGCAAAGTAGTGGTGGGTTAAACCAGAGTCTGTAATACTTTTGGCTTGGATTTTTTTTAGCATCTGGCAGCTACAAAAAAAAGTGGGATGTAAGTTGGAAGCCATCTACAGTGTCTTGCTTTAGCTGAGCCTGATTTAACTGAGTAGACCCATTGTATTCAGCCAAGTATTTAAGTTTTTAAACCATTTATGTGTAATCAAATTGGCTGTATTTACCAAATCTCTGTTATTACCGCGTCCTGACAAGAACACTTAAGGACATTAGAAATAGGCGATTTTCTTTTAAACATTACGTGGTGCAGACATGTTGGCGCCGCCTCGTCACAACTTTTCTAGCAGCCGTATGTCAGATTTTAACATTAAGTACTCTGTGATCCTGATGGGATCAATAAGAAATGCTCTCATCAAATGCACCAAAGCAGAACATTCTTGGTATTAGCTTCCAAGAACAGAAGTTGCGATTTCTTTATTTCTTTACCTTATTTCCTATCCCCATGGACTTATTAAACTTTAATTCTTTTACCTCCTAATCATAAGCATACAGATATTTTTGACAGAAGGTGAAAGTTTCAGAACTGTAATTTTGTTAAAATTTGCTTGTTAAAAAAGCGTTAACACTATCATTTTCTGTGATAGAAACTACAAAAAAAAAGGTTTTTCTTAAATTATTCACATTTAAATAGTAAAAGAATAATCTAAATCAGAAGTGCACCAATCGATCGCCCCAAATTTCCTTAATTTTGGGTAATCGTACTAATTCTCAGGCATCGTTTGATGCATTGCAATACATTAAAGGTATTGTGAAGGATGTTCTTTTTCCGAGTGGAACATCAAAATAAGTGGTGATCTGTGTTCGTAAGGCCGTCCTATGTGCTCGTCCTCATTTACCTCTGGTGAGTCTGACATAATTGAAAAATTGCAAATCTTGTTTTGGAAACTAAGCTTGTATGAGTGATGCAAACAGCATCTATTAAACAGAGCGTGCACGAGAAGAAATGGGCTTATGCATGCTCTCGTTTGGGTTTAATAGGCGTTCCCTCTCAGGAGCAGGTACAGGGTTGTGCATTTTATTCTTTTAAACTGGAGAGGGGGACTTTTTTTTTTTAAAATTTGCAAAAATCCTCCACAATACCTTGTAAACGGTCGTTAGAACCAAGCTCGGCCTGTTGAACTGATCCAAGCTCGGACCGGTCTCGGCATGGATCGGTTTTTTAAGGGTAGTGTAAATGGGGTATTAATAACTCCTGAGAGTCAGATGTGGATAAAATGGGTTGTGTCTAAAATCAACATAAGCAGCTCAGTTTTCTCCCTTTTCTTTTGAAACTTCCAACTCTGAATTTTATAGTTTTTTTTCCTAAGCAATAACATAAAAAAAATAGCTGCATTACCTTAAAACAAATAATTATGTCAAGTATTGTTCATTAAGTTCATTATGTTAGTTATAGAAGGAAAAGACTGGAAATGTTCCCTTTTTTATGCACTTAATGAATTTATATGTGTTAGTTTTTGATCATGGATCGGAACCAGTCCCAAGAAAACCATCCCATTCTAATTCCAGCCGTTTGATTGGTGCATCTCTTATCTGCTGTTGTTTTGGAAATATTATTCTCAATGCTGCAGTAACTCAGCTTCTGCTAAGGACACAGCAAGAATATCTGAGGTCCTAGTCTCAAAGTAGTGAAAACTGCTGCTTTTCTCTAATTATAGTATTTATCCTCCAGATGCTAATTATTGAAGGATTTAAATCAGATTTTAGTCCAGTTAGTTTTGTGTCATTTTGCAGCTTACTGTAGAGCACACGTCAACTTTCCAAGATGATGCAGTTTGAGTAACACCATCAAACTTCGATCCATTTCATTTTTATTGAATGCAGAAACGCTTGGCTGCTATTTATCCTTGCAGTTAGCTCAGTGTCACCAACTCTTGCATCATCTGTTGGCCATTTCTTGCCACCATATTTCTGGCTCCTCCACAGAAAGAGGATTCCTGTGTGTTTTGTCTTAGCTTAGAAGCTCTGATTTGTTTTCCAAATGGCCCTAAATGAGCTGACCGCCAAAGTCTGTGATGAAAGCATCACACAAGTCAGGCACTAAAACCCCACAGTTTTATAATGAGTCCCGTTTACCTCCCAGTCAAAATGAGGGAGATTTTTTTTAAAGATCTTTGGCTGATATCCACTGATTGTTTTCCAGATTCCTTACCTACTGCCCCGGTAAAAGGATCTCAGCTGATGAGGCTTTGAAGCACGAGTACTTCAGGGAGACGCCCCTCCCCATCGACCCCTCAATGTTCCCCACCTGGCCGGCCAAAAGCGAGCAGCAGAGGGTGAAGAGAGGCACCAGCCCTCGTCCACCCGAGGGAGGCCTGGGCTACAGTCAACTGGTAATGACATTAGGCCGCACTTTCTCCATTACACACAGCTACCAGGCTTTCTTAGTGCCGTCTGTGTTAAATAGATTACAGAGCCATGAGCTTCTGCTTTGTGTCCGGGTATTTCCTCCTTGTGTTTTCCAAGATGTGCTCCCTGAAGTTTCTAATGCTTTTTGCAGTGGTTCTGCTCGCCCATATTATTGAACTTTTTCAGCAGCACCTTCAATATTTTCCACCTTTATTTTTTTATTTTGATCAAATCTGATCATTTCAAAACTGCTTATTATTTTATTTTTTTTATTTTTTATACTTGGAAAAATACCCAAACGCATGGCTTGCTGAACCCAGAAATATCAAATAGCTGTTTTAGGAATTAACTTCCTCATGCCTGGTTTCTTTTGGAAAAACAATAAAAGGGACTCAATAAATACAGGCTCTGCAATAAAAGTATTTCTATTCCTCCCCTCTTTTTAGATTTTTTTCACTTTACAATCACCAACTTTCATGTTTTTATTGGGATTTTATGCAGTCGATCAACTTAAAGTCACTCTAGTGTTTTTATTTATTTTTTTTATTAAAATGATACCTGATTTATGGAATTATAGCAGATCCGAAAAATGAAGCAATGACTTTCCTCATTCATTATAGAACCACATTAAGCTGCCTGGTAAAGCATCTCCCTACTCTTCCAGGGGACCAAATTACCATTTTTGCTCATTAATCCCAACAAATTTCAGGTTTCTAATTTACTAACCATCTGAAACTCAGAGATGTATATTCTCAGACCAGGGCTTAAAGGTTTGGGTCGTTCTTAGGCTTGGATACTCTGATCTAATCCATTCCCTTATAGCTCAGACTCATTCTGGCTCATTTTCCTCCTGGAATTTGAAGCTCTACACCAGTTTTAGATTTTTCTCTGCTGCCACCAACAGATTGCCTTACAGGAAGTAGCCACATCCATCCTGACCTTTTAATGTGGAGAGAACAGGTTAATTTTCAGACTAATCTGAACTGAACACTTTCGTCCATGTTTGTTGTTTCCCTCACCAATTATGGCAATATTTCCCTGACATTTTCTGGTATGAATAGTCTCACCACTCATCCATTAAGACCCCATTTGTTTGTCCACCAGAGCTGTAGATCTCTGAAGTTGAACCATTTCAAAACAGATCAACATCTCTTAAGCCTGGTTTATGCTCAGAAATCAGGTCACCTGCGTGTGTGTCGCAGATAGCTTTGCAGGGAGGATAAAAAGGAGGCCTCTGATTGGTCAATTCTACATCTGCTCTACACTATCCATATTTCCTGTTTGGTACCTAATGGCAGAAGCTCTGGCTGTAGTGCCATCCACAAGGCCTCACACACCACAGACACTATCCCAGACACTTATTGTAGTTCTGTGCGACGATCTGTTGGTTTGCAACCAAAGCTAAAACATGCAGTGCCACGGCCAGTCTTTCAGGAACACTCACGGGTAAACTGTTTGTCCTCCGGAATTGGATGAGGGATTGTAGACGGCGAACAAGCTCTTCAAACCAACACACGGACACCCACAAGCCTAGCTAGTTTGTGATTGTCCCTCTCGTGTTGTGGTGTGGAATAACATAGCGCAGACCATGCTTCAAAATTGGGAATAAATCAAAAATATCTGCGTCATACCTGCGACAAGCTAACTGCAACACACTGCTGCGGGAGTATAACCAGCCCTTTAGCCTGAGAGGCGTTCAATGAGTCCATGTCCAGACAGAACAATACTGAAAACAAACACACGGCTCATTTCTCTCATTTGTGTTTCTTAAACATTTCCTTCCATCTAATTAAACTCTTCTTTGTTCAGTCTCTTACATCACATCACATGTTAGTGGTTAAAACGTGAAAATGGAGGGGTCTGACTAATTTCCTTTATCTGCAGGGTGATGATGACCTGAAAGAAACCGGTTTCCACCTGACAACCAGCAACCTGGGAGCCTCAGCTGTCGGCCCCGGATTCAGCCTCAAGTTCTGATCCGGAACCTGCAGGACTTTTTTTTTTTTTTTTTTTTTATCTGCCTCACTGAGAGGATCAAAGCAAAGAGTTCTGGGACTTGTTTGTTTGAAGCCGGACGGTTTGCTATAATGGGTCAGATCAGTATCTGCCAAACAACTGTTATCAGATACTCTGGACTGTCTTTTACAGCGTGACTCATTTTATTTGGAAATCTCTTTATTCTTCTGCGAATTTACAGTTTCCAAAGTGACTGTTTACCCTCTTGAACAGGAATCAACCATTAGAAGTTTCAGTTCTTGTATTTGGTTGTTTTTTTTCTGGCCTCCTGAACTACTGTAGATTGAAACGGATGCTGTAGGAACCTTCCAGCATTATGTCAGATTTAATGACCAATCTCTGACGTGACGTTTGCCCGACAATGTTTTTATAAGAAATAAAGATTGAAAGTTTGCTTTGTCTGCTATTGTCCCTGTATCCATAAATCCTGTCCAGGCTTCACTGACGGCACCCTGCCAAGAGCAGAAGAAACTTTAGCCACACAGAAGTCCGGTCTGTGGTACTCACTGACCAAACGTGATGTAATACAATCCTTTGCACACTCTGTGGCTTTTTTTGTTCTTTTTACGTGAAAAATAAGGCCAGACTCTGGTCTGTCTTTGTTTTTACCCGGTTTTACTACATCAGATTTAAACCAATAAATTCTCTGATTGTGAGCCAGAGCAAAATAAACAGTCCTGCTTCGGTTCCTGCAAGACGGCGTGCTGCTTTCCCTGGATCAGGCCTAGAGAAACCGTCTCGTCCCAGTTTCTCTGTAGACGGCAGTGAATGGAAAAATTCATTAATCAGTTTTATCTGTCCCCTGCCTCCACCACAGCCACTTCTGCAGATTATTACACCTGATGTGTTGAATGAGCTTGGAAAGAGCTGAGAGGAGCTGGCTGCAGAGACTCTGGAGGCAGACTGCTGGCCTCGCTGCGAGGCTAGTAAAGTAAGCTAGACGTCTGAGATGTTCCATGTGCGGTTTTAAGGTCCAGATATCTCAAAAGGCTGTTGAAATCACAGCTCATTTTTTGCTTCAGTGGTTCAGTTTGGGGAGTGTGTAATCACCCTGCATCGGAGAAAATGGCTTCTGGGACTTTTTCAGGTTCAAAAAGAAAACCTCATCAACTGTGTAAACATTTACTTTTAAAAGGAGGGGAGGGGGGCTTTCAGTGCTTTTGTTTTTTGGATTGAAATAAATTCTCCAGTAATTTTGATGACAGGTTTTTTATTCTTTGTTGTTGCAGGAACAATTAAATGCCCGAACCCCTGGTTGAATTAAAAAAGAAGGAAAATTACCCTGCAAAAATCACACCCCTTAGCACTAAACTTTAAAAATAAACCCTTTTTGTGCAGCTTTTTTTTAATTTATTTTTTAATAATAGTAACCGGAAAATATAAAAGCAAGAAAAAGGAACATAAGTATATACAGGAAATACTATAGACAGATGATAGAATGAGGAAAAAAAATCTTAACAGAGGATTCTCTTGGAAATACATTTTCCATATATTCTAGATGTCTTTACATTTGGTTTGCTGAAGTCTCACTAAGAAAATGATTCTTTCCATCACAAATATTGATTATATAATTCCATTCCTCTATAACTGGGTTGTCAGATTTAAGCCATTTCTTTTTTGCTTTTCTTTAAACTAAATTCAATACACCAAATGTAAGTGGTAATACACTTAATTTAAGACATGTTTACTCATTTCTAGATCATTTTTCCAGTGTAAGGACCTGAGTCGCTGATACTTGTTAATCTCAAATCCTGACCCCATCCTGTAGATGTTTGTGCCAACGTTGAGACCCAACAGCCAAAGCAAAGTATTTTTCCATGAGGTCTGGATCTGGTGAGTCTGTTTGGACCGTAGCCTTAGATTTCTGATCTGTATCAGCCTAGCTTGATTATTAGAGGTGGCTGCAGCTGCTGAATCCTCCACTTATCATGAATTGGTGAGCCCACTCTATGATGATAACCAGGCATTTATTACCAATAGTGCTGACACCCCTCTGGTTATTTCTCTTTCTCAGACCTCTGTTAAACTAATAGATGCTGATAACAGGTTTCAAAAAGGAAAAAATAAATAAATCCAGGTACTAAGGGGGTGACCAACAAAATGTATCTATCTTAGCTGTATGCCATTTTCTTTTGTATTAAAGAGTAGCTAAAAGAAATAGTTCGTTTTATGTCATTTCGACTCTGAGAAACCAGAAGGTCATGAATTACCAATTAAAGGTCACTTTGTACTCAAATTAAATAAATATAACCCTTAAGTGACATTTCTGAGTTGCATAAGATTTATTAGAGGAAACAAAAGTGTGGCACCTGTGATTTGGATAAAAATGATTTCATGACTTGAGTCATTTCCTCATTAAATTAATGTTCTCATCTTAACATATTCAGTATGAAATTATGCTGCTGCAATTGGATGACGAATTCAAGGTTTTTTTTTCTCATCTGTACCAATAAATTTGGATGCTGCACTGGAAAAAATTATCTAGAAATATGTAAACATTTCTTAAATTAAGTTTATTTACCCTTGATTTGAGTAGGTAAATGAGATTGAGATTAGATTTTTTACTAATAAAATAAGATAATTTGATAATATGCAATTGAAATAAGACAATGCAAATGTCTTTTCTTATTTTGAATATAAATTGTCTTGTTCCATTGGCAAAATGTCTCTTATCTGCTCAATTCAAGAACAAATGCGCTTATTTTAAGAAAAAATTATTTATCTAGATTTTGATTTTTTCCAGTGTGTTGTATGTTCATGTGACAAAAGAAAAAATGAGCAAGGAAAATAAGTCACTGCAAACCAAAACAATTCCCAACAAGAGCTTTTCACGTTTGGGTAGTATAAAACCTTTATTGTTTGCACGTATAAAAAAAAAAAGGATGGACAACTTTTATGAATGATACAATGTTTATTTTTAATCCGAAATATGTGCCCTAGAGTCCTGTTCGCTGTGCAGCTTAGGAGAGCATCAGAAGCGCACGCGTACCCTCCATGAGTAGTTCGTAAGAACTTTGTCCTTTTTCTTCACGATGCAAGTGTACGTGCCTTCATTGATGGCGTTGGCCACAATGGTGATGTGGTCATTTTTCAGGGAGATGTAGTTAGGGTGAGAGTGCACCAGCAGCTCCCCGTCTTTATACCAGCTGGAACAAAAATCAGGCTTCAGAAACTTCTCAACAGCTGCAGAGGTTTCCAAGCTGCCAATTACCCCCCTAAGGTTTTCAACAGCCCAACAACAGAAAGTCAACTAAGGTAGATTACACACTAAATTAAAACACCTCCTCCTTTTTTATTTACTACCAAAACGTACTTCATTTAGCTTTATTTTAATGTGTAAAAGAATTTCATGTTGATATATATATATATTTTAATTCATGTCATAATGATTCATTTGATCAGTTAATTTCTAAACCTCTACAATTCTCTGATAATTAAATTAACTTCTGTTTTAATCAGACACGTCGCTGACACTTACTATACTTTGCCTTTCTTTGATGCGATTTTCTTCCCACAGCGAAAAGTTAGTTTCTTGCCCTCGATGACCAGCTTGTGTTTTGTTCTGGGTGGAGTGGGTGTGGGGGCTGCAGTGGGGAATGGGAACTCTGCAAAAGGACGAAATGCATTCATAAGCAAAGTACAGAAAATCATGATAATGTCAAATAATTTAAACATGTTTGTGCTATAATTAGTAAGAGAAGGTAAGAAAGAATTATTTAATAGAGATTTCAAAAAGTATTGGAACCCCTTTTTGCACAGATTATCATGTCACTGTCAGGATCTTGGCACTGATGACTGGCTTAATTATTCATTCACCTGTCTAACTCTTTCCAGTTTCTCATTACTGCTCTGGTCCACCTGCTGCTGTTTAAGCTGCTTGCTCCCAGTCATCTAGGCCAGATTATTCTTCTTCTCTCTAGGCAGTGGTGAGAGTGTTTTTCAAGTTCCTTGCTTTTTGATTATCTGATCCTGACCTGTCTGCCTCTCAACCACTGAGCCTGCTTGTTCCCATCTGAACGGTTTGCCTGAACTGTCTTCGGACTCCTGGATCTCTGAGCCTGCCTGTTCTTATCTTTTTGCCTGACCTGGCTCTGGACTCCTGCATGTTCTCCGGGGCTACAGCTTCTGGGACACTGCGGACGGTGCCACAGTGTCTACCCTGTTTTTTGGAAATGGACTGGACTTGAAAACCAGAGGTTCCAGCCTTAGATGCCCTAGCCACTACTACTCAGATCTGCTGGTCTTAAATAAAAGCTTTTTAAGTAATGCCACTGTCTGTCTTGCCTGAATACTGGGTCCTCTGTTCTCAGTCAACCGCTCAATGACACAGTGGGTAGCACTGCTGCCTTGCAGCAAGAAGGTTCAGAGTTTGATTCCCGGCCAGGGGTCTTTCTACATGGAGTTTGCATGTTCTCCCTGAACATGTGTGGGTTCTCTGGCTTCTTCCCACAGTCCAAAAATATGACTGTTAGGTTTGTCTCTATGTTGCCCTGCGATGGACTGGTGACCTGTCCAGGGTGGACCCCGCCTCTCGCCCATAGACAGCTGGAGATAGGCACCAGCACCTCGCAACCCCGCTTGGGATTAAGCGTGTAAGAAAATGGATGAATGGATGTTCTGAGTCACAACAGTTACAGCCAGGCTCAGACTGGTAATCTGTGATACCAGGCATTTACCCAGGGGGCCAGTCCTAATTTAAGCATGTGAGGACCGACCCTCCTTAAATCATACTGGCCCCAACACTTACTGTCTGGCTGAAGCACCTACCTGTCAACAAGTAATACAATGGTAACTACCTAAATGATGCAAGCAGTATTTAAAGCCCTTCCTTGTCCTGCACATCCTTCTGACGGAGGGCATATGGTGTAATTTTCAATTTCTTCAAACTGTAAAATCATTGCAACAAACTAAATTATAATAAAACTAAACTGCTTTCTTTAAACGTCTTATATTGGGTGGATTTATGTTTGAATATTTTGCAAAAATATGTTGCGGTGCATGATGGGGTTTTGCTTCTAAAGTGTCCATCTTACCAAGTGCCTGCAATCAGTCAAACCTTTTTGAAATAAGATTAATAATCGAACTGGATCTGCTCTTGCTTAGTATATCAATCTCAAAATACAATCCAACAACTTTAAGATTTGGTTAGATCGATACTTTTTGCAGTGTCCATTTGACCAAATACAATATTTTAAGAAAGATTTTTAGATAATTTTTTCACTTGTGACAGATCAATAAAGTTCCATCCTCTCCATTTTTGGTTATAGGGCTTAAAGTGAGATTTTCAAAGGTTAGGGTATTTTTTTAATTACAATAGCAATGGTTTAAACTTCCTTTGTCTTAATATTGCTTGTTTTACACTTGATTTATATAGTAACGGAATGTATTGCACTGGATTTTGTTTAGGGGTGTTAGATAAAGGGAACTAAAGACAGCTGCAGGCCACACTTTTAAGACTCAAATTTGTAAAAAAAATTAAAATAAAAGCAAAGAACACATTTTGCAAATGGAAATTTGAAGAAAAAAAAAAGTAATCAAGAAATAAATCACTGAAAATGTGAAAAAGGTTAAGACAGTAACTGTTGTTTCATCAGATGTTATTTCTGTTGATTTTTTTCTCACATTTATTTTTGATATTTAACTTTTTCCAATTTTATTTTAAATTTTTTTTTCCAGATTTTTTTTCAGACAGAGTTTACGAATTTTATTCTTTTCAAATTGCATTTGATAGATCTTCTTTTCACTTCGAGCCCGATAAAAATGCTCACTCTTGATGCGCACATTGACCAATACAACTGTTGTTGCTTACATCTATGCAAACCAATAGGAATATGCAATCACTCCCCACTCCAGACGAAAGCATGACCCCGAAGGGTGATAAAAATTAGTTTGAAAGGATGCAATTTGTAAAATAAAATATTAAAAAATAGTCACTAATAAGTTACACTAAAAACCTTTTTTTGATTAAAACATTTGACAAAATTTCATTTTTTCAAATTTTTTATTTACAAAACGTGTTCTTTTTCCTTGCAACAATAATGGAATTTACTCAGAATTTACTCCATAATGCTGAGCTGTTGGGGAAGCAGCAGTCCTGTCATCGTAACCTTCTGGTTTCTGACCAACACATCAGAGCCTCTTGTGATCAGCTCTCAGACTGCTTAAGAATCTCTCATTCTCGTTAACACCACAAAAATCTCAATTGACCCTGTTTGCCTCTAACCCTCAAGCCACAGTCTGAAATTCCAGCGGTTTGGAGTCGCTCTGGAATTTTCCACAGCCGTACTGTGTCTCCGAAATCAACAACGGGGAACAGATTCCTGCAGACCAGCAATTGTTTCCTTGCTGTCTCTGAACTGTCCCTTGTTGCTGACAAAATCTGTGCAAGTGCAATGATAGTTTAGAGGAGCTATTTCCTGTGGTGCAAGCAGAACATCCACAATAAAACCTAAATAGGTACTCAGATTGCTAACGTGTTGGACTTTAAGCAAAGCAGGATCTGCTGAGACGCAGCCAACAGGTACCAATTCTGCTGAGCCTCCTGGGAAAGACTTCCCCTGTGCAGAAATACAATCTAATCTCCACTTAAATCGGGCACTTAAATCAACTCCATCAGAGCTCTGATAGGTTGGACCTGTTGGCTCCAGCTGTTCCATTGGCAAACAGTTCACAGTAGCTCCTTACGCTGTGAAAGCTTTCTTTTTTTCTCCCTGGAGTGCTACTCCTGCTTTCTGCGGCCTTACCGTAACAGAAATCACAGCTGGAGGGGCAGTGTCTCTGCATCAGCCTGCGCCTGCTGTCGCAATAGCCTTTCCGAGCCCAGGCAGGACAGATAAATAACCGGTCCAAACATCCTGGAAGAGAACGGAGGATGGATTTAGGAGGAGAAGATCCAGACAGCAGTTTTCAGTCAGCAGCAGAAAGAAATTGGATCTCCAATCGGCTTTTCATGCCAGCAAAACTGACTCACTGTAATACATGTTAATGATGACTCATGAGTTTATACAGTGTGCATTAATGCCACGTTGGCTGTCAGTGTCAAAGACAAACACGGTGGTCTGCTTTCCCCATTGGTCCGGATCCAAAAATGCGTCACTGCATATCATACGGCTGGTTTTAACATGTTTATCTAGGGGTAATTCTTCTAATTCCAGGATCAGAGAACAAAATGTTTCAACTTTTCAACATTCTTAGATTAAATCTATCAGTTTGTTATTGTAATCCCCTTCTTTTGCCAGCAATCCCTACAATTATTTTTGGCTTCATAAGAGGCTACCATCTGCCATGACAGTTGAGTTGGCGTTTTGAGATGCAGATTGCTGAAAACAGACCTGGGATCTTTAAAATGACGGCGTTGATTAATAAGACGTATGGGATGGTCTCAAACCAGGTGAAAGATGGAGAAACAAAACTGCTCTTTATGCGCTTATCTTGTTTCATGGAATCCAAAATATTTGTAAAAATAGGGCCTATCTGGCTCTGTTTGGTAGCTATTTTTCTAATCCCAGAAATCTATTACATTGTTAACTTTTGGATCCAGGAAGGAGATCTGGAAGTCCTGCCTATTGGCTCCAATTCTTTAAGGACCTCTTAGAGGAATTAAAGAGTCCAAAATGCGCCAGTGATCTGTAACTTTACTAGTGAGCTCTGACCACGCACACAAACACAGACACAAAAAACTGATTTTAAAATTATTTTTATTCTACCGAATTTTATAATTAAGTCAAGAGTCAATTCATCAGAATATATATATATATATATTTTGCCATTCTGTTCCTGATAAATGAACAGAACTAAAAAGCTCTAAGTTGCCTGCTGTATGCAGCTTACAAATATGCTGTTCACAGTAGGCTAACTGTGGTTAAAAAAAAACAAGAAACTCAAATATGTGTAATAGATATTGTTCACTTATTTTCCACATGACTGTTCAAACAGCTAAGTTTGTCTCATCAGAAACAGCTGGAAAAATAAGTCCACGGTCCCATGTCACCGTTGGATACTATCTGATGTGTATGACAGGTCAAATAAAAATTCAGTGCTTAGCATAAAAACCTGTCATCATAGAGGAAATGATTACCTTCACTGACCTCCACTATTTTTCTCTTTCCTTCACAAACTCCCCCTTTGATTACGATCTACTGACGTATGCTGGTGCATTGAACATAGTCTAAAAGCTCCAATGTCAATGAAGCATGTATGTCTCTTTAGATATGCTCCTGTTGTTATGCACAACTAGTGTATAATGTATAGATATTTTTATATAGTTGGTTTGTTTTCAGGGGGAGTGGCAGTCTAGTGGTTAGGGCATAGAGCTTGGAATCCTGAGGTTCTGAGTTCGAGCCCCACAACCTGCAACTCTGGGTCTCTGAGCAAGAGCCTGCTCCCCAGGCGCCCCACAATGGCAGCTGGTAAATTTCTCCAATGTACGAGCAATAAAGTTAAATTATTATTATGAAAGGAAAAGCTTACTTCCAAGGCTGTAAACCTCTTTGTTCTATTTCCGTTTAAAAACTTATCCAATTAGAGAGTAGGTTGTTCTCTAAGTTTTACTTTCACTTTCAAGCATCTCACATGCTGAAGTGAGTGAGGTGTCTGGTTGACTCTGTTGCAGGGGTGTACATGTACTGTACACAATGGGTGTGAGAAGTCCAGAAATGTGTGGCACCCAGTACATGATGGTGCTATAATGTTAAATGCAAAGCAAGGTGATCTGAAGCCATGATAATAAACCACATCTTGACTTGAAAGCCAGTGAAACCGAAGGTTTACACAGGATTAGGGTTTACTTTTTCCATTTTCTGATACAATGCTGATATTTCAGCTTTTAGAATTGGCCGATACAGATATTGACCTGATACAATACTTGCACAAGTCATATGCAACCGCATTTTGGCATTTACGTAATCATATTTAGTTACTTTAACACAACTGTTTTATGTCCTACCCTGCTAACACGAAACAATTGGGTTAAAGTATGATAATTAAGTAAATGCCAAAACTGGTTGCATTAGTTTTTATTTTATTTTATAAATTTATTTATTTATTTATTTTTTTACTATTATTACTTATTTTGTCCTGCAAATTTTAGAAAAGGTTGGATCAAGTAATATAACTAAAACTGGGAGTAAAAGTTAACAAATAAAGGTATGATTTTAGAGACCATTTGATAGAGCCAAAAAACGATTTTTGGCAAATATGGAACCAATATCCGATATTTATATCGGATTGGAACGTCCCTACACAAACTAGACATGAAAGAAAATGAAAGGAATATTCTGCAGGTAAACCATGAAATATGAGAACACTTTTAGCAATAAGCAGACAGCTTGTTTACTCATTTATATCTAACTACAGATTCTTGGTATTAGTTTTCCCCCCCGACTTTCATGGCTGCTCAAACTATTTAGATTTTTTTCACTGTGAAATGAAAATATTTCTTATCTCTTTATGCAAGAACAATATAGTATCTACAGTTTTATTTTTTCAATGATTAGACAAAAGATAAAAACACTATTCATTATTGGTGCTACTTTGTAGCTCTCCACACCTTCCAAGGTAATTAAACAATTTTCATTTTGTTCAGGTTGAATAAATGTCCTAAATATATTGTGGAGGATTTTCACAAATTTTATAAAAGACCCGCCTTTTCCACTTAAAAAAATGCACATGCACGACCCTGTACCCGCTCCCAAGAGGGAAAACCTATTGAATGCTTGTGAGAGCGTACATGAGTCCATTTCTCGTGCACGCTCTGCTTGAAAGTTGCTGTTTGCATCGCTCATACAAGTTTACTTTCCAAAAGAAAGTGAGCAGTTTTTCCACGATTGTCAGACTCACCACCAGTAAGTAAAAATTCGAGGACGAGCAATGGGGACGGCCTTACATATCAGCAGAATGATTGACAGTTACAAGGACCACTTATTTTGATGATCCACCCGGAAAACGAACATCCTCCATTATATGTTTAACTAGTAGGTGGGATACACAATGTTTGAAGAAGCCAATTTTAGCTCCCCTGAGAGCTATCGTCTAACTTACCAGCAGCTACAATTACAATGATAATTAGCTTTAATTTAGCTTCTACATCTTGCATTTTCTTTTTTTAAAATAGAAATCCAATAAGTCTAAATAAACTTTCTCGTAAACAAAAGTAGGTTGTATTAGCCTTTCTTCGGCCAAATTTAAGAGAAGCAACAAAAGCTTATGAAGAGGCAGCGCTGCACTGATCAATGTTCCAAACAAACAGGATATTTTGACACTTTCTCTGGCAACTGATGGAAAGAATGTTAAAATGGCGTAAAGGAAAATCTTTAGCCACTTTAAAATTCTTGAAGTCCCCCAGACTATGGATGCTTTTAAATGTGGCCTTAAAACCCACCTTTTAATTGAACTTGTGCTCTTTTACTTATTGTCTTTGTTTCTTTAATCTTTTTTACTTGATATACTACACAGCGCTTTGGGATTTGTATAAATATAAAGTGAGTTACAAATCCAATGTATTATTAAAACCATCCTAAATGTCAGCAGCCCATGGCTAATTCTGACAGGGATGTGACTACAGATGTACCATAGAGACGGTGCAGACCCCAGATTTCGTCCTGGGTGATCCGCTTGCGTCCTGTCAGAGTAGCGTTCAAGTGCATTATAGCTTTCGGGTCCATAGTGTGCATGAGTCCGAGGACGTGGCCGATTTCATGAGTTGCCACGTGGACAAGATCCGTCAGCCAAACTCCTGAAACAAGAACATAACGGCGATTTGTCGTTTGCTTAATCATTATTTGCAGTTAAAAAAACCGGGTCCTGCCTTTCTTCCAGCTGAAGCGCATATCTCCCAAAATCCAGTATTCGCTGTCATCGAAGTGGATCTCACCCGTTGGCGGGAAGAAGGCGTGAGCAAGTTCACCTGTGATGCCGTCAAAACAGTGGTGCAGGTAGGACTGCCAGCAGTCCGTGTGGTTGACCGGGTAGAAGCCTGCCAAAGCCGAGAGAGAAACACATACCTCTTAGTCAAAGAGGGAAACCCACAACCTATTATTTCTGCTCTCTGTGGACTACAGTGGAGAAATTATGATTTACTGAAGACAGAGAGTTCTTTGCAGAGGCCTCACCCTGCATGATGACAGCAATACCTCTACCTGTCACTAGCAATTTATGCTGGGACTCCAATTTAATTCCAGAAGGATGAATAATGCATAATTCACAATGATTTGCCATGGAAGTTGTCAAGAATTCAGTGTTTTTCTTTTCTGTCATCATTATATATAGCACTGAATGTAGGCTTTGTACTACAGTACGGCACAACGATAAAAAAAAGGAAAGAGTAAAGCATAACTCTCAACCTGGGAGCCAAGCAACATCTGTTGGAGACTAAAACAGCTGCATGCAGGGAAAGTGAGCACTCACCGATCTTAATGTCTGCCTCCTCGTCCGCTGGCACCTCTCTGAATGAGAACGGCGAGACGTCGCTCCACAGGCCAAAAGCCCTGGCAATGCCTTGACGCGTGTCGCTGGCATTTATCAGGTTTGTAGGAAAAGACAGCAACCTGTTGGGAGGCGGCATGCAGTTAGCGCTGCTCTCTGTACACATTCATCACAGCAGCTGAGGAGTCAGTCAAAACACAGCAGCTACTGTTCACACCAATTCTCACAAGCACTACTGAGTACAGCTCCATTACTTCATCTGCTTGTACATCTCAGCCAGGCTTAGATCAGTGCTGAGACTTTTAATGAAGGTTATGTATTAATCGGATTGTCTGCTGTTAGCTTAAGGGTGTTTTAAGATCATTGCAGATAAACTGTAGTACCTTCTCCAATTAGGTTTAATTAAAGAGTTTATATGGGGACTAGTAACTCAAGAAAAATTTAAATTGGTAAAGATTTGAGTAGTTTTTTAAGTTAATCATTCAAAATGTAGAGGAAGATGTAGGTGGAAAGCATTTTAGTGAGTAGAGTATTGGACTGTATAAGAAGAAAATAATAAGCTTGACTAATTCAAATATTCATGCATTACTTCAAGTATTTCTTTGATTTTTAAAGATCTTTCTGCAAGAGTAATAAACCGTAGTGTTATGTTGCTGATGAATTGAGTGAGACCATATTATAAAAGTCTTGCCTAAGTCTGGATTCTTTTTGTATTTTGATCTTCTTTAAATTCTACCACAAATGTTTTTTTTTCCATGTAAAAAATTAGGATGCAACAATTTCTTCTCTTCTGTAGCAAGGCTCTGGAGACAAGATAAGAAAACTCTAGAAAGAAACGACTCCCGTAGCAAATGCATGTTTTTTTGCTTTAAGAGATTACTCAACCTACCTAAAGTTTGGTTGACTAAGTTAACGTTTGGCTATGTGTATGCACCCTGCACAGTCATCTGGTTTACCCAATTTCTTTGTTACCAGTTTCCAGATTTATTAGATGTCTAATATCATGTCACTGGTGGTTTCTTTACTTATAAATTTGTATTTACCTAAATGCTGCAGCAGGGCAGATGACTGAAGAAGGCGCACCTCTAGGTTAGCTTACTAAGGGACACAACTCAATGTTATACTGCATTTGCATCATATTTATTTTGCACAGCACTGAATATTTCCTTATTAATGCCCTTTTGCACCATAATTGTTTTTACACTGTTTTTCTTTTCCCCTGTACTTTTTACATGATGATCACTGCAGTATTTTATACTGGTAATGTTCATTTCACTGTTGTAAGCTTTAAGCAACATAATTTTGTTTTGTAAACACTCTGTGTATAAAAAAATGACAATTAAGTTTGCCTAAGTCTAAGTCTAATGAATTGTTACAATAATCTTAAAAATCGTGCAATATTAGATTAGATTAGCTTTATTGATCTCACAGCGGAGAAATTCACTGGTCACATATTGGTATAGTAATTAAAGAAGGTGCAAACAAGGAGGAAACAGGTGCATTAAGAATAAACAATATATATACAGTATATCAAGGTATTGATATACTGTATATATATTGTTATATTGATATATTAGTTTTGGACTCTCTCTTCCTCCATTTTGGTTATATCAAAGTCTTGGTTGTGTCTCAGATTGTGGTCTAAAATACAGCAGTACTTGTTCGTGTTGATAAGGAAACAATGTGAGAGTAAATACTTGTATGTTAGCTTGAACTTGTCCCATTTGAGCTGCTCTGGGGTCAGGGTGTAGCGCTTGTTCCTGGACAGGTTGAGGACTTGTGAGCGCGCCTCTTTGCGGATCCCGATGAGCAATATGGTGGTGTGAGCTTCTTCCTTGGACAAAGAAAAAACCTTTAATGTTTCACCTTATGGAATGGACAGCAGATAAAAATAAAATGAAAGTAAAGACGATCTTTCCTGTACATCTTTACATTCAATAGCAGGCACAGAGATGTGCAACAGTAAACACCTTTGACTCTGAGCAGAAATTTGAAGTTTAGTTCAGGTTATAAAGGTTATAAGCAGGGAGGTCCTGATTGTGTTTATCAAAAGGTGTACAATCTTGTTAGCAGGCTATCTACAAAGCATGTGCAAATTGAATTGCATGTGTAAAACCAGTGAAATATCTAGTGCAACATTTTTATCTGTGCCTTAGGAATATACACACAGACGTAATTTGCAGGGGGGTCACAGGGGACATGTCCCCCGCACTTTTTCAAAGTCTGTTTTGGTCCCCTGCACTTTTTACTGTCCAAAAACAAAATTTAGACCCAGACCCTTGACCTCAGACTTCCTCTCTTTAGCTGTTGCTTAGACGAGGAACACCTACATTCCTCCTCTTCCTCATCATGCTGTTCTTGGATGTGGATCGTCTTTATTCGTGGAAAATGTAACAAACCCATCCGTCTGGAGGCTGTTAAAGGTTTAATTTGATTTGCAATATATGCAAAACAATTTCACGCTGGAGTACACAGACAAACGTCATGCACTAGGACCAAGAGAAGATCCACAGCTGAAACCCGCTTCCCTGAGTTTCTTATATGATTGGCTGTCACCGCTGTCACTCATGAGAAGGTCACTTTACAAAAAACTGATGCGCCACTGAATCTGGTCTGTGATTGGATGGTCACAGCACTGCTACTGTAATTAAAAAACTGTAGGGTCGCAAGCCTCTGTCTCTGCTTTCCGGTACGTTTTGGTTGGATTTTTGAGATAACTTAACCAGGAGTAACGGCCTTGTAGAGTCTGCTGCTGCAAATGAGGTATTTTTTCTTCTCATTTGGTCATGAAGGGTTGTAATATTAGGTGTATTAAATTACTCAAATCTTTGAACTGGTGGCTGTTTGTGTGTTTGTTTATTGGACTTGCAGGTGTCTGAAAAAAGAAACAGAGACATTAAGAGACTTATTTAAAAGTCAAAGTGTGTGAGCTATGTAACACCCCTCCTAAAACACCTTCACCGATAAAGCAGCAGATCCACTTCAAGATCCTCCAATGAATTATAAAGCACATTTATTTTATCAAAAGTGCTGATAAATTAAATGTATTATTGTTATATATTATTATTATCATGTGAAACTATGTGTTTTTAATCCACATGGATTGTTGCACCCCAGATTGTCAAATTGTTCACGTCGTTCAGTCATATATTTTTATCAGGTGAGGGATAGCAGAGATGCAAGAGAAAATGGAGGAAACAAACACAGACAAACTACTAGAAAACGTGCCAAACTTGTATTTAATAGTACAAATTGCACCCCTCCCGACTTCTGAAATCAAAATTTCATCCATAAATAAAAAAACAGTATTCTAATCATGAAACTGATCAAAAGGATATGAAAATGTGCATAATTACCACAGGCAGAACGATTTATCAAACCTGACACTGATCACTTTTGTTCATTTTAGCATCTTAGAAAGTCTGGTAAAAACTCTGTAGAACAACCGTCTGTGACCATTATAGCCACAAAGGAGGCATTGGCAAAATGAAAGATGACGGAGAGTCTGTGCATATGTGAACACATCTGGACTGCCAGAAATAACAAAAGCTGAATAATATTAGTGGGAAAAACACATGTGCACACATAATGCAGCCATAAGCAATTCTATATGCAATTGAACCTAAACTAGACACCATGGCTGATATTAAATATATTGTCACAGAGCCTGTAAAGGGTGGGCACCTAAATCTGGTCATCTCTGAGTCGTGGTAAGAGGGATTTTTTTCCTCTTCCAATGGTGTTTTACTGGCTCTCAATGAAGCTCAATTATGACAAAATTATTATTGGCCTAACTTTGTTTAGAGAACGTTGAGTCAGTCGGGTGCTATGCAGAGTTGTGTGGAGGTAGATTCAGCTGTTTAGAATGTAATTTGGAATTAAGGCGTTTTTCCTGGACTAGCTAAAACATTGTCCAAGTTTTACAACTGATAAACAACCTTTTAATGTCTTTTGTTATTTTCATCTTTATTTTTTTTTCATTTCATTATGTTTGTAGTACTTTAAGTTACTTAAGTAAAGTGCACTTCAAATAATATTCATAATTTTCACTTATTTTATTCTGTTTATTTAGTCTGTGGGGTTTTAATGATTTTTGCCATTATCTCCAACTACATGGCTTAAAACTTAATATTCCTTTTATGGCCATTGTCAAAATACCAGTTGCACACACGATTTACTTTTACAGGTTTACATACGCAATCCTTGCAGTTCATCTGCAAGAGATGTGAATTTTTTTTTTCTTTTTGCCCAAGAAAATCCTTTTCCACTGTGTTTTACACAGTGGAAAAGGATACAGGAACAGTATTTCCTGTCAAGATAGCTGCCTCATATTAAAGTGTAGATACACTGAAGCCTGGAATGTATTATACCAAGGCAAACTTTTTTGTCACTTTAATTCAACACGTAGGTCTCTCTTTTTTAAATATAAGTGCAAGAGGCATCATTGTGAAAAACGTTTTTAGTTTTAGCAAAAAGTTGCTAGCCCTTCTCAATACCTACAGGCTTGCTGTATTCGCATATCTTTACATGAGCTACAACTCATCCATATCTCTTTGACCGTGCCCTGACCTTTGACTCACTCCAGAGTTTCTAAACTGGATTTAAGTAAGGATTTGGTCTGAATATACCACAGCAAAACATTGATGCTTATGCCTGCTAAACACCATACCATTGTTATGTATTTTGGATTGTGGTGCTGAAATGTCCAAGGCAGAGTTTCTCTGCAGGCTGCCTGTTGGAGATAATCTTTATCTGCTGCTCTTTTTTCATGGTACCATTTACTTTGATTAGCTCCCTTGGGCCAATGGCTGAAAAAACAAACCAAAAGCATCAGGTTCCCCCCGCTATGTTTGCCATTAAGGACAAAGTTCATAGGGTTGATGGCTTCTACGTTTTTATAACAAATAAAGGATACATCATTGTGGCCAAACAATTATTCTTTTGTTTAATATGACCATGAATTCAACTTTTATTTGTCCAGGTGAATATTTGCAAAGGTCTGGTGTTTGTCTTAGACAAGTGGTGTCGCCTTTGGTCGGTGTCTGAGGAACCCAGTAGTGAGTAATGTTTTGGACTGTCTGCCTTGAGACGTCGCCACCACCAGATCTCAGATTCACTGTGACGGCCTTGATGGTAATGCTTAGATTTTATTTCACCTGTCTTGCCAGCACACAGGTGTCCAATTTAGCTTCTGAGCAAAATCCTCTAAAAGGTGTGTAGAACGTTATGTATTTCCTAATAATAAGCTGCACTGTAACCAATGGAAAAATGAAGGATTTTCGTTATGGACTTAATGCCTTTCCCTAACTTGTGTGTAAGATTCTCCATGAGCTTATCTATCTTAGCCATGATGGTACAAAGAAAAAAAAAAACAGCTGCAGAGAGCTGCTAGGCTTGGCCTCTCTAACCTACATCCTGTGTAGTTATTAAATTCAGGTGATCCAGCCATAATAAAGCATGCATTATAATAAGGCATGCTTTAGTGCAATAATGCATAATGCATTCTGTTTCTGCAAACATCTATGGAAGAATGGATTGCCTGCTCTCAGGAGCTCAGTGAATTCCAGTTGGTAAGATGATATGATGCCATCTGTGCAATAAGTCCAGTTGTGACATTTCCTCCTGAATAAATGTTCCAGTTGTTAGTGCCATTATAACAAAGTAGAAGCTATTAGGAGGGACGGTAACTGAGCCATGATGTGGTGGGCCACATAAAATCCCAGAGCGGGTCAGCAGATGCTGAGTATAGTCAGTAGCTAAAGACCTCCAAACTTGATTTTGGTCTTCAGATTAGCACATAAGCAGTGCATAAAAGCTTCATGGAATGGGTTTCCATGGCTGAGCTGCTGCATCCAAACCTTACATCACCAAGTCCAAGGCAAAGTGTTGGATCCACTGGTGTGAAGCATACCAACACTAGAGTCTAAAGCAGCGGAGACGTGCTTTGGAGAGACGAATCATCCCTGTGTGTAAAAAACACCTGTTTGGTGACATCATTTTGTCCACTGTGAGTGAGGCTGTGGTCTCAGAACTACAGTACATCAGTCAAATTTAATATAATTATTTGTTCAATTTAACTTTATACTTGACAAGATAATTCAGATTTTATGATAGATTGCATTGCGGGCTTTTAAACCAACAATTTGTCCTCCTGCAGCTGCACACCGCTGCTCAGCAAGCTGACATACAGCTACAACACTGTTGCCTTGTATTTCCTGTGATTGGAAAACACAATAAGTTAGGTGGTGGTATCTTAGCAAGCGCCATCCATTACTCATAATAGGATGACATTATGAAGTCTGTAATATTCTTGCAACACTATGATAACTAAGATGGAATAACATCAGGCATGCTTCTAGAAGCAGAACGCCAAAAAATGCTAACAAAAATGTGGCTTTGTCTGGTCAGAGAACCATGCTTTGATAATGATAAATGATGCATTTTGTTTCTGTGAATCATCATGTTGTAATGAACTTCCTCCAGATTGTTAGTCACCTGCAACGCTCTCTGTAGTGGTACATTCTCAGGATAAAATAGGAAATCTATATAGCAAAAAAAAGTATCAGGGCACCCTTTATTTTGCATTCCACACCTTATCCTCTGGATCTTGTTTCTGATTTTCCCAGTCAAGAGGGATACATGACTTCCTTTCCAAAATAACCCAACAGGGACAGACCCGTTCTGGTGTGGAAAGTGATAATGTCGATCACTCTCACTGAAGAATGCTCCCTTTCTTCTGAATTTCCTCCACTAAAACTCCACTCACCTCGTCTGATGCACCACAGTCATGGACTCTGTGACTTATGAGGTGTTTAATGTATTGTTTAATGTATTCAGGCCAACACTGTATTCTCCCTTTCTCTGTGCACCATGTCGCTGCGGACAGACACTCATGATTTGACTCAAATTAAGATGAACTGGGGAACCGTGGGGATGGAAGCCGGCTGTCTCTAGACTAAACCCTGAAGCCATGACTGAGCTCGCAGACCAAAACATGCGAAGAGATGTCTCTGAGGATTTGAGAGGGAGAGTCTGGAATAGTTTAGCCTCAAACTGCTAAACGAGGGATTATGGTTTTCATTCCTCATGTCAGACACACAGAAGAATTTCATTTTCGGCAAATTGCTGCATTTTGGATATAATTAAAAACACAATTTGTTTATTGTATTTCCTCTTCATAGAGCACACCGAGTTCCTTCCAAGAACTGACTTTTTTTTTCTTCATATTTTGTCATTCTATAATCACAAACTTTGGGTATTGTATTAGAGGTTTATGAAACAGACTAAAATAAATCAGCACATCATTGTAAACTCAAACGATGACGATGCATGCTTTTTAAAACATTGTACAACTAAGAATCTAAACAATGTGCAATTTATTTGACCCTCTTTACTCTAAGAGCAACCAACTGCCTTTATGGCACAAAGCCAACCCTACAGAGAGCAAAAAATAAAATAAAACAATCTACCCCTTATGGAAAAGTGGCAATCATTGACAAAAAACAATAGGGAGTGCTTTTTGCTATTTGCCACAAGCAATTAAAGGGGGGACAGTGAACAGCTGGAAGAAAGCTTTCTGGTCAGATGAGTTCAAAAGTAAACTTTTATAACCACATGCATTATGCTCTATGAGGTTAAACAGCAGTACTTCACATTACCCACTGTTAAACATAGGGCCAGATTATATGGTCAAAACTTATATCACAATACATTTTTTATTTCAGTCAATCTGATATAATTTCAATATTAATATGAAAAAATAAAACCCAATAACAAAATGCTTTAAAAACAAACAGAAAATAAATTAAATACATAAAATCCTGTAAGTTAGTCAGTGAAAAAATGCCGCTTAATGAATAGTGAAATATCAGAAATGGGTTTAAAGTCATATCACTGATATTGAATTAAACTATATTGTAATATATATATTGATAGTGAAATATGGTCCAGCCCTATCTAAACACAGTGGTGGCTGAGTCATACTGTGTGGATGTTTTTTATAAATGTGAAGGTTTTTAAATACTACAGACTGGAGTGGAGGTGCATTGTTCAACACAACAACTCTAAACATTCAGCCATGTCTACAGTCTTATAATGTAATTTTCTATAAAAACAGATTAGTATTCTATTTCCCATTAAATCTCCAAATCAAATTCAGTGAAATCAGTGGTTGTGATGGGGAAAACAAATTATAAAAATCTATTCTTCAATGGATGTGAATATTTTTATAGAACAAATTGAGCTGAATTTGTAAAGCTTATCTAACACGATTGATGCAATGGCCTCCATGACTGACAGCTAATAGGAATGTGTGTTAAAGGAAATTACACAAAACTGTCCCTCAGGCTCTGGATCACAGTGGGTGGCTGGCAAGAAGTGAAGTAATGTGGAGGGGAACAAAATTTTCCTATCCACTGAAGACATTACCTTACAAGGATCCACTTTGTTGCAGAAACTAATTCTGGTATTCATCTAATTTCAGCTGAGCAGAACTTTAACTGGATCTGAAGTCTATTACCAAAATTAAGTGAGTCCATCTGTTGATGCTTTGGTAATAATGAGGCTGCACAGTTAATCCCATTTAAGGTATTTCATAATATGTTATAAAAAGAAAACAGGATATGATCTGATCCCAAATGAAGATGTTAGGAAATTATTAAATATAACAAATATTTAGAACTCATAAAAAATGGTTTTAAGCTTTTGTAATATTAGTATATGTCATTTATTTTCAAAGATTTTAAATAAGGTTTAAAATTCCTAGATTCGCAATAACTTGGGGGATCAAAGTCATAAATTATTTATCATCTTGAAAATTGAATAGACCTCGTATTTCTGTCTTTTGAGACAAAATGCATAACAGTGTAATCAGAAGTTGAATTGAGCCCTTGCAGGTCAGCAGGTGACAGCATACCTCTAACCTCCAGGAGGGAAACGCGGTGGCTGGATGCATCCCAGCAAACAGAAGGCTGAGCAGCGCAGCGGCCAGCAGAGCAGCGGAGCACCAGTCACCGCTGCGTAAACCTCCGGAAGTCCAGCAGCTCGCCATGGTTGCAGCAGAGTCACACTTTGGGGATAAACAGCCTCTCAGCTAGGAGACTTCAACCACCGATGCCCACCGGGTGCTACTTCTCGGCCATTGCGCGCAACTTTGCGTAGCTCCTGTCACACAGTGCGGGTGCGCAGTCCAGCCTGCGGACCGCGTAATGAAAAGCGCAGACAGCACATCAGCTCTGCTCTGCTCGCTCTCTTCCGCTCAGCACGCGCGCCAGCGGGCTGGATCCACACAGGACAGGGGGTCAGTGTCGAGACGATCTAATGAAAACCAAACGTGCTTTCCGTCGCGCCACTGCTTCCAACCACGAGACCTCACTAAAAGCACTATCAGATGGGTAGCTCTGCTTTTTTCATCTCTGTTGTTTATGTAATGCTGCTGAAGGGAAAAAATCTCTACTTTTTCAGACATTTCGGCAAAAAAGAAAACACCAGGAGCGCTGATATATTATTAAAGCGCTGAGGGGCCTGGAGCACTCTTCCTCTTCACCTGACTCAATTTTTAGTCCAACAGATTTCTCTCTAATAAAGGACACACTAATATTCATATCATTCCTGGGGCTAAACCTGTACTTTATGGGCATCAACTGTAGTCCCATGGGACTTTGCTGGGACTGATGAGTTTTAAATAGAAATAACATGTATTGAATGCACTTCATAAATGTAGATATTGAGCTAGACGTGTGTTTACATATAGTTTGTGCACTTTATCTGGGCATTATACAGTTTTTAAAATGTTAACATGAATATTGTCTTTATTTTTTGCACAGTAATCACATGTATCCTTTGTCTTTCGCATGAAAATCAAATATTGTCATGATGGGGTTAGGCGATCTGACCCACATGCAGAGAACCACTCACAGTGATCAGTTCAGGGACCGTAGGAAATTTGACCCAGGCTTGAATATTACAGGAGAGGGACTCACGTTTAAAGGGGGCTCTTGTCAACCCATGAATCCAGCTTGTGTGGGGTTAATCCAGAGAAGTGGGAACTCGTTGGAGGGCGGACAGATAGACAAGCATTGGACCCAGAGGAGTAAAGGAGCAGACTGTCACTTGGATTTCCGATGAGGACTTGAACGGATCATGTGGAGGTTTTCCCCTGCTCAGTGTGTACTCAGCTAATCCTTCCAGGGGAAGAAGGTCCAAGTATCCAGTTACTCAGGAAGGCTTCCTGCCGAAGAGCAAAGACAAAAAACTTGATAAGACTCAGAGAAACAAAGCTTAGGTGAGACTCTGCTAATTTCAGCTTGCCTAGAGTACCCAAAACAAGCAAACACTCTGGCGTTGAGGTAGTGACAGCCCACTGCTCAAATACTCCTCCAGTAATGATCCAACGAGCCGCAGGTGTGCAGGGAGGCCGAAAGAGGACAGGGCACCACCCGGTGGTGTAGAGAAAAAAACCCCACAAAAAACCCACACAAACTGGAATCCTAACAAATATACCATTTCTGTATGGCATCACCATCATGTGATTTAAGGGCTCACATCGGTACTGCATATAGTTTATGGCAAGGGTGCAGCTTTGCGTTAAAAGTTGGTGGGGACGCTCTAAGGGTGGTGGCTGATGGACTTACAGCTACTCAACCCGAACGCTTTCAGTAGGGTTTATATTCTCCAAAAATAAGGTTAAACATATTGAATGCTTTTCTATGCCACAGTGCATTGATATTTATAGACAGTGGCTTGCCTTTATTGCATTATTTATAAAGGGCTCAAAAACATTAATGTTTAAAAAATTACTAATAACAGCCGATAACGATGCCAACATCAATATATCATGCATCCCTAGTATGGACACAACTTCACTTCCATTCCATCCATCCATGCATGGCTTCCCTTTAAGCTGCATCACTGATTATCCTCCTTTACAACCAGCAAAATCAAGTTCAGAAAATTTTCCCATATGTCGTTGACAGCCAAACTCTATGTATTGAACCCTATACTTCAAAAATTATTTATACACTGATTTTTATTATTTGTGCTTTAATTCTCGCAGATTTCTTATATTTTAATTTTAAGTCTGTGTCTTGTGAGTCTGGCTCTCTCTGGGTTGGCTGGCACGGCTATTTCAGAGTCTTGCTTAACTACAAAAGACAAAAAATTTTAATTTTATTATAGCATTGTGTATTTTCTTGTAAACTTGGGGATATATTTTATTGCATGGTGCATATCCAAGTAAATCTGTTTCACCTTTAAATTTGCAGCTGTCCCTAATTGTGTTTCTGCTCTGCTTAAAGTTAGATTTATGAACCTGTCTACCAAAATAATGATGCCAGAGAAAATAATTTTCAAGATCTCTAGAAGCTCTGCAGTCTGATTCTCTGTACAATAAGAAAACAACAGATATGTGTTCATTTTAATCTGTAACTCTGAGTAATGGTCTTTTGAGAAGCCCAGCTTTTTTTTTTTTTACTTATTTAAATGTACATCATTCTGTCGCCATTTTTAGCTGAAAAAGCTCTGCATGTAACGAATGGATTTTTCAGTGGCATCTCTAATTTTTTTAACCAACCAGTCTCCTAACTTTTACCGAAATATATATCGAAGTAGCTCCAGGTTAAAATTCACTGAGTGCTGCTGTGTCTCTCCTCTTCCACGTAGCTACTATGTACGCAGTGAATAGCGACCGCAGATAATATTATGTCCTAAAGCGACGGATGCCATAATATTTCAAGAGTTGGGACTCGAAAGCAGTGGAAGAGCGAGGAAAGAACACGGACTGAAAGCGCTCTGAACACAGCTGCACCCACCACCAGTTACTGTTGGCCAAAGTACGTCAGCGGAAACGGGGAAAAAAGCTGAAATTATTGGTGGGGACTGTCCCCTCCATGCCAAAGTTGGTAGGGACATGTCCACACCAGTCCTTCGGAAAGTTACGCCAGTGGTTTATGGGTTTACATGGACATTGTACGTAGTTTATGGCCTCATATGGGCATGTAGTTTCCATGTAGTTTATTGGTTCACATGTAACTTATGGGTTCATATCGACATTGTATGTAGTTTATGGGTTCACATGGGAAGTGCATGTAGATTATGGGTTCAAGTAGGCATTGTATACAATGTATGGGTTCATATGAACTTTGTATGTAGTTTATAGGCTCACATGGGGATTGCGAGTAGTTTGTAGGTTCAAATGGACACCGACTGAAGTTTATGGGCTTACATGGTCATGCAGGTTTTCATGGCTTAACCTGTGTATGTCATGATAGAAAAGAACGACTCAGGATCAGAGCAACCACGGAGACAGACAGTTAGTTTTAACTGGTTTATTGTAAAGTGCTGGTAGACAGGTGATGACTGGTTTGGTATCTTCTGGCCTGCTTGGAGGGCGAAGGAGGTGGTCAGAAACAGCCTGTGGCAGTAAGAATGTGGAGAGCTCAAAACTCACAGAGTGGGAGGCTTGCCCGGAGCCAGGGGGGGTGAAGTCTGTGGTCCGGTGCAATCCAGCGGTTCCCTCAGTCTCTCTTGTGCAGATGGTTTTTGAGGGTGGACAGGCAGGCGATCAGAGGAGTCCAGCTCCCTGGCTTGTGATTTCTCTGGCTTGGATTTCAGGTTCTAAGGAGGAAAAGACAGAGACAAAATATCAGGTCTGGTTCGGATGAAACTCGGAAAGTTTTGTTGGGTCATGTACCACGCTGGAAGCGAGAAAGAACTGACGCCCTCCTCCTGGTCTCTGCTCCTTAAGAAGGGCTGAAATCAGCAGTGATGAGGAGCACCTGCCAGTCCACCCTGCAGAGAAGAGAGAGAGAGAGACAACCCATCCCTGAACCCAGGCCTGGAGCATGACAGCACCCCCCCTCTAACGGACGCCCCCTGGCGGCCGTCCAGTGGAGGAGGCCTCGAAGGCTGAGATGAGGCCGGGATCCAAAATGAACGAACGAGGAACCCAGGACCGCTCCTCAGGGCCGTACCCCGCCCAATCCACCAGAAACTGGAAGCCGCGGCCACGACGCCTGGAAGCCACTATGCGTCGAACCGTGAAGGCAGGGTGACCATCCACAATCCGGGCGGGTGGGGGGGGTCTGGAAGGAGGGCATAACGGGCTAGAGGTGACAGGTCTAATTTGAGACACATGAAAAGTAGGGTGTACACGAAGGTGAGGCGGAAGCCTGAGCCGGACTGCTGTAGGACTGATGATGCGGGCGATCTTAAAGGGACCGAGGAACTTAGGGGCCAGTTTCTTTGACACAGCCTTTAGGGGAAAATTCCTAGAAGACAACCACACCTCTTGTCCAGGGAAATAGATAGGCGCCGGGATGCGTTTGCGGTCAGCAAACTTCTTGTTTCGAATGGAGGTACATTCAAGGGCGGCTTTGGTCTGATCCCAGACTTTGCGGCACTGCTGAAGGTATGACCTGACGGATGGAAAGGTTGGATCAGGGAAGGAAGAGGGAAGGAGTGTGGGCTGATAACCTAGGGATGCCTCAAAGGGGGACAATCCAGTGGCTGCTGAAATGTGCGAGTTATGTGAGTACTCCACCCATGCAAGGAGCTGACTCCAGGAGGAGGGGTTGTGGGAGCAGACACAACGGAGGGTGTTCTCCAACTCTTGATTCAGCCTTTCGCACTGACCATTAGACTGGGGATGGAATCCAGATGTAAGTGAGACCTTAGCCCCCAGGCACTGACAGAAACGACGCCAAACTTGGGAAACAAACTGTGGGCCACGGTCAGACACAATTTCCGTCGGCAAGCCATGGAGTCTAAACACATGGTCGAACAAAAGTCTGGCAGTCTGGTGAGCAGATGGAAGTTTGTTCAGTGGTATCAGATGGCATGCCTTGGAGAACCTGTCGATGACGGTGAGGATGACCGTCTTGTGATTGGATGGGGGTAGACCAGTGACGAAATCCAGGGCTATGTGTGACCACGGACGACTAGGCGTGGGTAGAGGTTGGAGGAGGCCAGAAGGTGGTCTGCTGGAACATTTGTTGCGGGCACAGACAGGACAGGCAGAAACAAACTCAAAAACATCCCTGTTTAGGGACGGCCACCAGAAATATCGTCTGATGAAGGCGATGGTGCGACTGGAGCCAGGGTGACCAGAGAACCTAGATGAATGCCCCCAGCGGATTACCTGGGAACGGACAGCAGAAGGGACATAGAGTCGGCGGGGAGGGCCGCCTCCAGGATCAGGTTCATTCTCCAGCGCCCGTTGAATCTGTTTCTCCAATCCCCAGGCGATCGCCCCAATGACGCAGGATTTGGGGATGATGGTCTCTGGATCAGTGGAATCAGGGGCGGCAGGAAACAGTCGGGACAGTGCGTCTGGTTTAACGTTTTTGGAGCCAGGGCGGTAGGTGATGGTAAAATGGAAACGTGAAAAAAAAAGTGCCCAACGGCTCTGACGAGAGTTCAGGCGTTTAGCAGACTGGATGTAGGAAAGGTTCTTATGATCTGTCCAGATAA